AGGAAATGTTTATTTTCGTCATCAGTGATCGTTCATTTTAATCAACACAGCGCTAGTGACTTGCGTTTTATATGCAATATTTAAAGATTTATTTTTACACCGTATTTAATCTTACGTCGTTTAAATAAAACATTTCTAACGGTTTATACTCGAAGATTATAAATTTTTACTATTTTCTATATTTAACTAAAATCTGTCGTGATCACAGGTTAACTTGTATATTTCGTGTTTTAGCCGTTAAGTGTTTTATAAGGACTACAAGCCTAATTACCCAGTACTGCTTCGTAGGTCTAACATTTTTAAACCAGATCAGTCGTACCGATGATTCGTTTCAAACAAACCCTTGGAGCTAGCTCTACTATCGATCACGTTCAGTTTGACGAACAGACTTAGAAGGGACCAATATATGCCCTTCACATTAATAGCCGCCCTATTTCTCTACATTTACTGAATTGGTCAAGGACGGCCACGAAACGTGATCAGAGAGTTGAGTAATATTTGTTTTATACATAGACGCAAATTGTTCTCAAGGCTATCTCATCTAGATAGATATTCAGGTGTCGCATACTTGTTTTTGAAACATACTGTATATGGTAGTTTAGTTGGCATAGACCCAAAAAGAGCGCGGCGACCCCACAATATTTCTATTACCTCCCTCCCCCTCTCCTCCCACAGGGGGGATGCAGAGTCCCTTTGTTTTTTCTTTATAAGTTATCACTTTTTATATTCAAACCCCATATCCACATAGTCCATTACTAGATTAAATTTTTGGCTACCAGGTACCCAAAAGGGGCATTTTGTTTTTGCAAATGGACGCATACATGAATTCCCCACTAAAATATTAAAATAGTGTAGTGATCTTTATTATGTTAATACATTTTTCAACTTTAATAACATAATGCATAAACCTAAACTAAATTTGATAGATGACTATCTCGTACGTAGATAAAATGTCTCGACAACATCAAACATTTACCGACTTACCTCGGAAACTTTTGTGATCCATTGATTTTGCGGGGACAGAGGTTAGGTGAAGGATGTTCGTTCTATAATGAGAACATTGTTCGATATTACAATACAAGAAACGATATATTTACAAATGCCCATTTGTGGGGATAAGTTAATGTCTTGTATGCAAAACTGCTCGACTGATTTAAGTAGAATTTACTGTATTCTGACTTTACGATCTAACTAGTTTATATCAATAATGAAAATCGGGTTTTCTTTTTGTTTTATATTCATTTGTATAGTTAGGTATATAGCTATATAACTAATCATTATAAACAAAGAACAACAATAAATTTCGAACCCGATCCCTTTTTTTATACGAGTAAGATTTTGGTTTCAAACTAACAAAGTCCCACTGCTGGACACAGACCTCGCTCTCATAGAGAGATGGTTGATGAACTAAGACCCACCATGCTTATAGGGCAGATACGGATATAAAGCAATGGTTACGAAAAATTACGTTAAAAATTTCAAACTAACTTTTTCTCTACACGGTTTTCGAATCTGTACCTCATGATCTCAGTGCCCCACCCACTAGACTGAGGTGGTTAAATCAAACCCTTCATTCTTATGATATTGTTATAGAAGATTTATAGCTCGAAGCCAAGGTAAACAAGCGATTAGCTAAACTAGTCACAAATAAGCTGCGCCATCTACATTTTAATTATTTTATTTACATTCAAGCAAGGATCAAGCTAGGGAATGACTATTATTAAGAACACATTTCAATACATAAGTACTATTTTACGAGTGAAACAGATATAGTAAGTACTCGTTACTCTAATAGTGGCTATGCATGTCTAATATTTAACCGGACGTGAGTTCGGATCCTATGAGGTCTACTGTTTCTTAATACATTCTATTTATAAAAAAAAAACTTCCTCTGCACCAAGAAGGCAGTTATAACTGCTCTTTAGGTATCAATAATTTATTCACAAACCAAATGAGTACTCACTTGTGTTATAAATAATAAACAAAGTAGTCAAGTTTTGAGGGAGCCGGAGGATCTTTTAAAAATAAATGTTTTAAGGTTGAAACGTTTATTCTCTACAAGAGTGTATCTAAGACTAACTTAATTATATTTTAAATCTACTGTTGGAATAAGACACCTCCGTGAAGCGGATGCGCTTATCGTCAACTTGCCGACTCAGTATTTGAGAGTGGTCTGAGTTTCTTAGAATATAGAGCGCTGACGCGTAGAGTCCGCCGATGTAACTAAGTATAATAGTATTTCTTTGAGTTTGTCGCTTTCCGATAATGGTTCTTCCCCTATAGCAATATATAATGACTATTTATATAATAGCGAGTTTCTCCAAACCCAATTGATTTACGACATAATAACCCTTTGCAAGCAGATTCCTTTTTTTACGTAATATTTTTTTCATGTTTTCAATGTTACTTTAAGAGATCGTGTTTTGTTTTCCATCAAACGATAACCCGCATAAACACGAAGGTTTCCGAAAATGGGTCAAATTGATGAGATAAACTGTATCGAACTAGATAAACTAAATACATGATATCGTAAACGTGTTATCGAATATAGTTATAAAAATAATTACTTCTTAGTATAGGATTTATAGAAACAAAGCAATATAAGTATAATATAATTCGCGTTTTAAACCTTCACTTGTTACTCGTCGTATTCGCATAAACTACGGACAATGGTTGATCAATATAATTCGCAAGGACGTTGATCATTTCTATGCCCTATCTGGAATAATATATTGTTTTCTGGGATTCGAACATAGCACCTTTCGTACATAACGGAATGCATTTTTTTCAACATTGAACTATAAGATCTTATGTTCTCTAGGGACTGAGGCCACGTCTTGTGTTTCCCTAAAGAATAATGCATTGTTTATTTAAACTATACTCGATGTTTGTTAATATTAATATCAATTTAATGTATGAGATTATAATATTGATGACACTTACCAAATAAGTTAGTATACACATAAGCCTAGAGCCGTTTAGGTGTAGTGATAATATCACACTACAGTTGTTTCCGACCTTCTGGAAGCTCGATTCCGACAAAAAGAGATGAATTCTGTCATGCTCTCATCGGTAGGAAAACATCGTGTGATAATCTATCTATTAAGCCATGTCATCATCATCATCACCATGAACCTTGTCTTCATTTTTATCGTAGAAAATACCTCGTAAGAACCATTTGGTTTTCTTTTCTGAAAACAATTTTGACAAACACATTTTTTGGTCAAGAATAAGTTTATAACAATGTGTCAATTTGAGAAAAGTGTTATTTCGTATCAAAACAAATTCATATTAATAGAAATATTTTACTGTGACTAAATAAAAAAATTAGTGACATAAGTCGGTCAAATCCTATAGAACTTATTTCACACAATAGAATAAAAAAATAACTCGAACTACTATGTATATAACATACATGGCTAATAATAATCAACGAGTCATGCTTTTGCATATCTAATTTTTATAAAATACCCAGAAGGCATTCGACAGATGGCGGTAGTAGAACACTGTTTGAAGTATCGATGATTTTTATGATCACATCCAAATTATTACGTTTTAAATATTTAAGCGGTGCCAAGAGCAAACCCTTACTCAAATAGTACAGTTCCACGATCTTAAAGTAAATATTTTGTACACATGCCAAATCGGCTACTTAAGATTCCATACCAAAAATTCCATTTACCATTATTCAATCATTCGCAAGTCTATAAATTGCGTTTCATTCATTGACTGAAGATTAAAATAAATAAAAACAATAGAACCGCTTTGTAGTGTAGCGTATGCTTAGTATACATACTAAAAATCTTATCTTATATCTTGTTTTAGTGTAAGTTATTGTTAGGCGTTAGTCTTAATTAAACTTTTACACACGGCGACTCCGCCAGGATTCGAACCTGGTCTCTTATGATTTTTCGTTATATATTTATTGTTACTTCAACTTGTATATTTTTGTGACAAAGGTGGACAGAGAAATATGGGGCTCACGTTAAAGAAGGTCTTTTACTCGAGTCATATAGCATCTAAATGAATTTTTAGAAAATCAAGACTGAAACGCCACGTGTACTGCGGTTCATAACGTTACTCTATATTCCTACTCATGTCATGTCCAGATTTTTTAGAATAAATATATATAATTTAAATTTTTTGCGGGACTACAAAATATCTCGACCGGTTTTTTATTGCAATTATTCCGACAAAATGTATAATGTGTCTGAAAATAAACGATAAATATAATAAATACATTGCATTCAATTATCGCACTTATAGATAGTGTTTGTTTTACGAACAAACGAACAAATGTTTTACGACCGAAGCAATATGACTCCTTACCCAATCTTTTAATATTTGACTTGATAACAACGTCCTTGTTCACTATCGGGAATCGAACCGCCAAACATTCTTACATACAGCTTTAATAATATTTACCTAACGATAATTAAGATTAAAGACTAATTAGCAATTATTTAGAAACAATTACTGATAATTAATAACTGGTTACTTAATGCACTATAAATCGCTATTTATTGAGTTTTTATGCCAGTGTTGGTCTGTCCGTCACAAAGTTACGAAGTGTAAATCAGGTACGTTGTATAGTATTGATTATTACATGTTATTTCGACATAATTTTGAGTGTCATTTTTATATTACGGCGTTTTTATTTATATCCAAATGTCAAGGTAGCTCCATAAATTTTAATACAATATAGGCTGTTTAATATTTTTTTTATTAGTTGTTCGCGTCTTATTTGAATGAAGTGGAGGTTCAAACACGTGTATAAAAAAAGTATTTGAGCCTAACGAAGTGCGGAATTTAGCATGTCGAAACCTAAAGTAGTGTAAAGCCTAGGGGATTTATGCAAACGTGTGTGGTCCGTGGTCCCAGCTTTGAGAATCATTAAAAGATTAATGATACTATTTTCTATACACTTTTACTATTCTTTGAGTAAACGGCTGACAAATAATGTTAATATTCTTTGTTACAGGTCTATATAATCTTCAATCATGGCTGACAGTACGAAAATAGAAAGTGAGTTTCTTTTATTAATAATTACTATCTTTATAATTACTGAGTAGGTCAAAAGTACAACTATTTCAATGTTTTTCTTGAAAGTTCTTAAAAACTATCCTTTTAAAGTACTAAAATGTAAGGTCGGATGAAGTTATAGTTAGGTTATCATGACTAATTTAGTGTTGGTATTCTTTAAAACCTGTCAACCCGCATTGGAAAAGCGTGGTGTGTCTGCGGTCTTATGTTATATTTTTCAATCGTTGTAAATATGCATTATATTTAATACGCTATCCAATATGTCTATTATTTCTATTGTCTTGACGTGTAAATGATATCTCTTGTGTAGTCTGTGTGTATATCAAACAATTTGTTCTTTAACGATGGTCGTTTTGCGGTTAGTGTCTTATAACCATTGTCTGTTCTTTGTTGACTGCAAAACATAAATTGATTTATTGATTCGAAACAAAATAAATAGTATGTAAGCGAAACACAAAAAAATTGGTTACAAATAATTAGGAATTTCAAATGAAATACTTGACAATATTTAGATAAAGCGATATTTTTGGGAGCAAAAGTAATGTTACTTTGAAAGACGGCCAAACAAATACTCCATTACTCATATATATCTAATACAATTTATCTACACCATAGACTTGCTTATTTTGTAAATATATCATAGAGCTCGTTTGACAATCGTTTTGTCAAAGTTTATTATTAAAACTTTGATTATCTGATGTAAAAATTACTGTGTAATTTTAAAAAAGTGTGAACGAAATTGTGGTGAAGATTTTAAATAAATTTATTACTGATTCAAGAATTGGACAATAACTTGGAATTACACCTTTTTTATTAATTTTGAAACGCAATTTAACAGCTAGAACAATGTTTTGCAAAGACATTAAAATGTCAGTTGTGATAGATCGCAGAAGAGGTGATTGTTTTTTTTTTTTTGAGAATAACTTTTATGCAAAGAAGGAGGTTTTAGGTTCTATACTCTGTCGTTTAAACGTTCTTTCTCTCCTCTTAAATGCTCACTTATCGGATAATTTTGAAAATGGGTGGCATAAATAATAAGTGAGGTTCGGCTTTAGTGTGCTAATTTATCTAGGTGTAAAGCCAGAATGGGTAGACAGCGAATATTAATTACCCGGTAAGCAAATCCAACCTGCCATCAAGAACCCGAGAAGAAGCTTTATCTCAAAAAAATTACCTCGCAGCAGAGAAACTTGACAATTACTAATTGATGATTATATTTTCAGATAATCCCAAAATCATGTCCGGTCCAGTACTGACGAACTCCCCAAACGCGGTCCTATCCAAGACCCTGTTGGGGCGTTATCAAGATCTACCTGTGCCCGGTGATAAGATAATTGCTACTTACATATGGATAGATGGCACCGGCGAGCACCTACGGTGCAAAGACCGCACTATTAACTTCATACCAAAACAACCTAAAGGTAAATTTCCCAATATATTTATTCGACTATACGATAATCTTACTTAGGTAGTACTTGACAGAATAATAGGAAAGCACAGTTTGATTATTTGCCTATTCACTTAAGACATGGCAATGGCTTTTATTTTATTTCTAGGGCGATTCAAAATGTGAACATTTTCATTTGTACATCAATGTATAAAAAAAAATTGTAGAATTATGTGAGAATTGAACCTTGACCGAAACTTGAATAGTGTCGCATGTAATTGATAGATATTGCTACGGCCAGGACAGTTATCATAAGGAATAGCATGTGAAAATATTATAAAAAGTAAACCGGTTTTATTATTTATCCGCACAGATAATGGCTTACACCGGCCGAAAATAATTATTCTTCTCCCCCATATCCGACCACACGGCTCCCGTAATTGCAATAGCAATGACATATAAAGGTGATCGTACATTTCTCAGTGTCGTTAGAATGCGTTGTACGAAGAAATATGTTGTGCGCAGGCAGAGTACGCTGCTGACAAATGTGCGATCACCTTTAATGGTAAAATACTGGATGAAGGTCTCGCATATGCTAATTGCCGTACATAATGCGGACGTTCTAGTTAATTGTAATGTTCGCGTCATATTTCCAACAATTACATAATTACTATTTTAGTTGCATTGTTTACGTTTGGTGATGAGTGTAACTAATTATGCTGGTCATCACCGGTGGTGACCACTTACTAATTCATTTATAGACATAAAACGGCCAAGTGCGAGTCGATTTTTGAAGTAAAGAGGCTATGAACCGGGTACTCTTCATACATTTTTTTTGCATATTTTGCAAAATCACGCCCAAACGTCCGGTTAGTATTAAAGGCCCCGGGCTCAATAATCCAAAAATGTTTTAAATACATCTTTAGTTATTTCAGATCAATAAAATATTTTCAAATCGGGCAATAGTTTTCAGATTGACGCATACAAACAAACGTTCTTAAAAATATTAGAATAGACGAGGCCGGTCCGTTTGTAGTTAGTACGGTTATGCAGTGAGATAAGTAATACAATATGTACACCGCTGGCATTCTTGATCTACCGCATTGCATCAAATGTACGATGAATATAATATCTTTAGTGCAAAGCTATTTTAAGCTAGTTGATCTAATTATTGTTAAATGATTTAATTAATAGTTTATTTAGCCATTCGATTATTTGCCCTGTCTGTGCCCAACAGTGGGGCATTTATAGATCGTAACGAAACCATTGTATGGAGTCAATAATCGGCTAGAAAGATTATACAATATAAGGGCCATCCTACATGAACATTGGCCGCGTATTCAAAGCCAGACGACAACATCCGTGTCCTGTATAATTAATACTTATCGGCTAAATGTGTAACAAAGTGCCAATTCATCAGAAAAATTAACAAGAATACTTGAAATGATGACGGAGACTTCGTTAGAGGAAGCCCGCGCTCGCACCAACGCGACGTACGCGCACAAATACTTCCCGCCATTTTTCAACTCGAAGGATCTGGAAAGTGAATTCGATTTCGTATGCAAGTGGCGAGTGCGGGGCAATACAGACTTTGATGAGAATTTCAAAGGTTTCATTTTATTTGACGCAGTAGGGCTGTCGATGTTGACTTTTAACGCCTTATTAGATATATCGTTTGTCGTGTACCTACACATTTAAACAAAACATTTTTAACGGCTTAAAACTCGACTTAAATAGATTAACTTATTTTTACTACGAGTCGACTTTGCAGCAGTCGTGGTAAAAAATAAGTTACAGTACAACTCGCGTTTTAAACCATTAAAAGATTAAAATTGTGTACATAGTTAAAATTTTAATTGTAGGGTAATTTGAAAATGTACAATGTTATTGATAATTAGGTACTATGTTAGTAGAAGTATTTTGTAAACTATACACCGAACACGGAGATGATTATAGTAAGTTATTAACCTAAGTTTAATATAGGGATGAGAGTGCTTTTATTCGTTTAATTACTGTATATATTAGGATAGTCACTCTTAAAAAAAAAAATCTAACCAGTCTAACTACTTACTGTAGGTTGGTGAAATGAAGTCCGGTATATTAGATTCCAAAAGAACGTTATGAGATTGTCTTAGTTACTAACAGTAGTTTTAAATTGAAGTAACATAGGCACATAAACAGCGTAATCATATTAGTATTTCTAAGGACTTAGCTTTTTTAATTTGGTTTGCCCCACTCGTGAGGCATACCAAATTAAAAAGTTATTCTTTGTGCTTTTTCTAACATTGAGACACTTTATTCAAATAGCTAAGAATCCGTTTATAGCATAGTGAAGCGGTTGGTATTCGGATAAATCGATACGTCCGCCTCTGGCTCGGTTATAAGCGTAAATTGTTAGTTTTGGCTCGCAAAACGCGGTTGTCTATAAATATACTTCAAATTGTACTTATATTTTCTATTTTAGTCCAATACGTAATACACTTGAAGAAACTCCCCTAGTTGGGTAAATTACATAATTATCATAAAAAAAGGACTTCCTTATTATATAAATAGGTTTTGTGATATTTAAGGGCTTATAACTTCTATCATTTTAGACTAGCTTTAGCGCTAGCTTCCTTAGTAAAGAAAAGTGACTTCCAACACATTTACTGTATTAAAAAGCAAAAAATATTTTTTAAACATGTTTACTAAAGTGGTAGACAATAGATTTATGAGCTCAATCTTAAGTAATCAATTTAACGAACTTAAAAATTAAGGATAATCTTTTAATTTTGCTTGATTTTATTATATAGACAGCATTAAGATATCGCAAACCACAATTATAATTACATACATAATAAGTTGATATTTATTCTAATATATATATAATATAGCTAGTTATGTAGTAAAATCGTATCGTAATCGTAGTAGTCGTCTATGAGTACGTTAAAAATTCAAAAAATGAAATTAAAAAAAAGGCTATTGTTGTAAGCGCCATCTAGAGAACGTCATAAAATTATTTTCCACTTTCAGATCTGCCAGAATGGAACTATGACGGCAGCTCTACTGGTCAAGCTGAGGGTCACAATGCCGATACGTACTTGGTACCAAGGGCGATTTACAAAGACCCGTTCAGACGTGGAAACCATATTCTTGTTATGTGCGACACTTTCAAATACAACATGCAGCCCACAGGTAAATAGACTTAATTTCGTTTCTTATAAAATATACTGGACTAATTGTATTAAGTAAAGGAGCTCTATTGGTCTAGGGTTCAAGTCCCGTTGATGTATCTATGCCATTTTTAATTACCTGACAAGTGCTCAAGTCAACATTCTCAACAGAAACAAACAACCGCCTGAAATGCCAAGAGGCGTATGACAAATGCAGAGACGAAGAGCCATGGTTCGGCTTGGAGCAAGAGTACATCCTTTTGGACTCGGACCTCCGCCCCTTCGGTTGGCCCCCTGGCGGTTGCCCTCCACCCCAGGGCCCCTACTACTGCGGTGTCGGCGCCAACAAGGTTTTTGCCAGGGATCTCGTTCAAGCTCACTATATGTAAGTTTTAAAACCAGCCAGTTAAAGTGCGTTAATTGTTTTAAAATTACGGGCTCGTTTTGGTTTGGTTGTGGGTTCAATTTCCGGCTCTTATGTTGGACTTCGTTGGAATATCCCAGATATTGATATTAAATGTGTGGTCTGAATGGAGATGAAAAAGCCGCAAAGCAAATTTGCGATTCGGTTTCAGTTTGTCGATAGCTAAAAATAGGTCGATAGCGCATCTTGTTATCACATTTCATCAAGTGCAGCCCTCGACCTCCCACTACGACATAAAGTCACAGTACATCACACAGTCACAGTCACTAGACAACTAATGTTTTTATATGTTTATTCTAGTTGCTGTCTATATGCTGGCATACCGATCGCTGGAACCAACGCAGAAGTTATGCCCTCGCAGTGGGAATTCCAAGTCGGACCATCTGTGGGCGTCACAGCAGCTGATGACCTCTGGGTAGCGAGGTACATCCTCCACAGATTAGCTGAAGAGTACGGAGTCATCGTCACCTTCGACCCGAAGCCCGTAGCTGATTGGAACGGTTCTGGTGCACACACTAACTTCTCAACAAAGAAAATGCGAGAACCCAACGGAATTATGTAAGTACAACTGAAGTAAAGGCTATCCGGGTGTTGGAGTTGTTTAGTACCAAATAGCCTACATTCCATGGCCTATCGTAGTTCAGATGTCTTAAGTTATTACGTGATAAACATGCTTAGACTCAAGCTCATAATCTGGTCAGAAATAGGTTGGTAAAGGTAGAATCTTCTTTACGTTGGGCATGGCATACAACTCATGTATTGGATTTTATTATGTATTCAGAAGTTTTATCCAAACGTGATCGTTTTTATCATCCCGGTTAGTGGGTTTGAATTTCGTTAAGTGTTTTACTGGCACTTTACTCAATTAGTTCTTAAGCAATAATTTCCAAGTTGTAACACACTTGTATCGATCGCAGCGAGATCGAGAAGGCGATAGACAAGCTGTCGAAGGTGCACATGAAGCACATCAAGGTGTACGACCCCCGCGGGGGCAAGGACAACGAGCGCCGCCTCACCGGCCTCCACGAGACGGCCAGCATCAACGACTTCAGCGCTGGTGAGATACTATACACCTGTAAACGATGTGGATCCACCTTTAAGGCGGTTTAAATGATATACTCCTGTGGTTTAGGTTGATTAATTAAGGGGAAATAATTCTCTCATTAAAAATACACATAATTTTGATATTTTGCGAGTAAAAGGAATTTGAGATAACCACAGACAAATTATTAGTTTTAATTTCTTCCTAGGTTCCTCAATCTTGCTAAATAGTTACAATGGCTAACAAGTTTGTTTAATTACAGGAGTCGCAAACCGTGGTTGCAGTATCAGAATACCACGTGCCGTTGCAGAAGAGAAGAGAGGCTACCTTGAAGACCGTCGGCCGGCGTCCAACTGCGATCCTTACTCTGTGGTCGATGCACTCATGCGCACCTGCATATTAAATGAATAACACAAGAACCACGATGCCGCCTTTAAGCGTGATAGCTAGCGCCCTAACCCTGCAAAAACGACATTGTCTATGGTTCCCCGGCAATTACTAGCCAGGCCTTCGCACATTAGGATATAATATCTGCAGACTTATCTAACCCGTTGACAAGTCGCCGTAAATAACGGTTCACTTTTGGAAGTAAATATTAAAGTTGCCACCACATTGGCTAAGAATCTTCTGTTTTGAAATATGTTTTTCATATGAGTGAAGAGAACCTGTTCTGGCTTTAGTGACGTATTGGCAAATCCATTATGGCGTAGTTCATGTGTCAGATAAGTTTGTAAGATTCTTTTATACACTTTGTAATATCGATTAACTTGTCAATAAAAACGTGTTCCATATTTTACAATATATAGCTAGGTACGCTTCTAGTGTAAGAAATGCACAATGAGAATTATAACATTCCATAGGCAGCTTATAACGGTTAGCTCGCGTGATGAAGGTAGCAACACTATCGGACCATTTAAGATATTATCGATAATTATAAAGGTTATTTTACGAATATTATGTGATATTTTAACGTTAACTATTGTTATTTTCATTTTATAGTTTACAATAACATATCATTACTAACAAACACGATATGAATTTGTCGTACATTGTTAAAGTAACTCTAACGCACTAATGTTACTTGAACAAATGGATAGGGTCAAGTTTACTATTTACAATAACATGTCGCTGGTCGTCGGGATGACTTTTATAGGTATTTTACTAACACTGTTACTTGTCAATGTTACCTGACAATTGAGATAAGAATATCGCTTATTGCAATTGCGACGACCGTCGACGTCATAATATTATGGTGGATAAGGTAGAGGACCAGCAGTGGTGGCGAGTTGTCGATCTATATGAATAGGATTATCTTAGGAATTAAAGCCTTTTGCAATACGTCGCTGCCTCTGTACTAGGATTTTTAAACGTTGATTCGTTTCATTGCATGTTACATTTCAGGCTCTTTGTAGGGCACCACCATCACGGATACTCTTCGCGATGTGTCGCGCGTTACTTTGCGTCAATGGTACATACTACATATCATGGGTAAAATGCCTTGTAGATTAAAAATTTATAAGCTGCTGTCCATCATTTTGCGGGTGGGTTAATAAGTTGATGTCCCAGGTTTGAATTATGGATGAAATCATTATATAAATTGCACAGGCGACATTGAAGAACTAAATATCAGTATTACTATGTCGTTTTAAATAATCAAAAATATTAACGAAATTATATAGTTGAAAACAATGTTGGTACCACTTGGACGGCAGCAATTAGAAAAATGTTAATGTATAATTTTAATTACATTTATACTAACAATTGCACAATGAATAATTTAGAATGAATTTATTCACTAAAGGAATTGATTTGAGAAATATTTAATGAGATGTTTATAAATATGTTATATAGCATGAGAAGTTATAAAAATAAAATACCTAATATTGTTGTATGGTTTAGTTTCATTTTTACAGTATCCTTATAGAAGATTAAAAGCATTGTTTGACTTAATGAAAGGTGGTGTACCCCAGCCAAATTGAAACTAGAGGCGCTGTCAACATTAAGAAATCTCTAAACGGAAACCTGAAACGCGATTATCCATATACTCCTACCAATCATTCAATATCACAATATTTCAGACAAGGTTAGATTTTTTAGAAATAATGTTTTTATAAAGAATTTAGGAGTTGGAACACACAATTGGTGCTCAGTCGAACTAACGAACTATCAGCCAATATAAAATATGATAATCGATAATGTGTATCTAAATATATATATTATGCAGGGCAGTCAAACAACGTTGGTATTTGTCACTTGATTTTTCTATTGTCGACTTATACTGAATAGCAGCAATAAGTAAAAGTAATAATAAGTAAATGTCAAGATCTATTTTATTATTTCTATAATTTATCGACCTTGCTCCATAATCAACAAATAAAACCGATTGGGTAGGAAAATATATCATGATACTCTCTATACCAATGCTCACGTAGGGGGAGCGGGTAGATCTTTACTCGCTTTTGTTGAAAAGTGGGAAGGAGAGGGAAAAAGTCGTAATAAATTAGCTTTTCTTACCTTTAAATGGCGTAATAGGAATTATTGAAGTGAAACTTGGATAAATTGGTTAAATTTTTATTTGAGACATCATTCTGACAATCATGTTGAAAAATAATAGAGGTGTAATAATAGAGAAATTATAATCACAAAGCCAACAATGGACGAAATCACGTGTACTGCCTTTCTAACGGACTTTTCCTAACATTTAATGCGAGAAAAATGTGCGTTGACACAAATCAATAGAATATAGAACCACTAAACATCTATTACTTTACATTTCTCAATATATTCATATGTAATACTATGTCTTAACAAATGTTGCCTGAGGGTGGGTTGTATCAACCGTTAAACAGTGCTTAGGTTCTGTTAAATTGTGACAACACAATCAAGAAATTCGGCATCCATTAGCCTTGAACCTTATCTAAAAATGTTATTGCACTTGATAGCTTTGTATCAACGAAAATCTATTTTGAATTTAACTTGCAGATCACAGTCCGTACTCAAATCTACATCCACAAGGTCTTATGTTGTTGATGGTGCCAATTGAACTACCATGTAGCAAAAGGAACAGTTTAATGGATGTGGTTTTGTACCTACATTGAATTGACTATCTAAATTAAATTTTCAATGTATACATAAGCGTATTTCTGAATCAATGGTAATTTATGATTCGCCATTTTTAACATCAATATGTTGAATCAGCGTGGTTGATGCAACCCGGCCATTAATATGAAGTAGTGCAGCTATTAAACATTCTCTTTAGAGCTTGTTATTCATAACAATAAAAGAGACAATATAGCTTACAACTTTACTAATAATACACATTGAAACAAACATTAATGTATTTACTTAGCTCTAACAATAATTGTATCTAAGACGTTGAGTAAGTATAAACAAGGAATCTTTGCAGAGAGCTAAATAAATTATAAAAAAACGTAAATAATCAAAATATGGTAGAGTAGTACAGGAAGTAGGAAGCAGATCAAAACACTTACGCCTAGAATCATATTAAGCTTACAACTAATAGTTCGACTAAATGACTTAGATGTGTCATACTCACTGAATATAGTCCTCGCTTCGAGAATACGATTTAAACACATATTGTAGAACTCACACGTAGATACTTTATATTAATACCACAAGGCGGGTACGTACTAATTTCTTAACTTTTAACAGAGTGGGGTTTAAGGTCATTCTAAGGATCCACATTAAGCATAGACTATATCTTGCCTTCTTCTGACCACAAAACGTTTCATGTTCATCACTCACTGTGTCACTTCACTATAACTTTAGTGTCACTGGACGGGTTAGCTGGATAGCTGGGCTATCATTGATGTATGATGACAGAAATATGATTAAAAGAACTATTAATTAAATCCCTATATAAAATATAATTTGAGCTGACACAACAAAAGTTTGTACTGTCTAACATGTCTTCAATTTTTTAGTATTGGAATAAATATTAATCAGATACACCGCTAAATTGTTTTGCCTCCCTAAAACTTCCCCCCAAACCCCTGAATTTTATGCTATGGTGTTACAATTCAAATAGATTTTTTAACATCTTTGTGAATGTGTGTGTGTTTTTAGATTTATTTGGACAATTCTTGTAATTAACTATTATCTAACTTTAATATTTTCAAAAAATCATGAACAAAGCTTTATTGTTATTTTGAATATGAATAGGCATCAAATGATTCCGAAAGCTGTCCTTGAATCCAAGTTGTAAGAACTAGGAAAGACAGACAGAAAGAAAACATTTAAAGAAAGGAGCAAAGTTGCTCAGTTGTTAAGGAAATTTAAAAAACATGGTTGTGTAGTTCTGTCGGTCGCGTTGCACGCTCACTAAAATTAATAACTAAAAGAAATATGTCAAGACAATACAGTAATAAGGTATCATCAATAGTAATAATCATTCATGAGTCGCGTTATCACAATCCACAACGTGGCGTTTTAGCGGCATTTTTAAACAAAGCTAAGCTAAGCTAAGTATTTCAAATGCGAAACAAAAAAAAAAAATCGGCCGACCTCTTACATCGAACAAATCATGTCATTAACAATCGTCATACATCAAGGTTATACCCTAGCGGCCTTAACAAAGCTAATCCCGTATTTGAGGGAAGACTCCCTCGATAAACTCCTCTAGTTAATTGTCCTGCACTTCGGCGGCCGGCGGCTCAGCGCGCGCTGCGAATTGCACGCAGTTCTCGATCACGTTGCGCGCGAGTTCCTTGATAGCGTAGAGGCCAGGCCGGTTGATCACCTCGCTCAGGATCTCGATGCCCTGCTCCTTTTCCACCAGCTTGCAGTACTTCTCGGCTGAAATGGGTTTATAGGCATTTTATTCAGTGTGCTAATGGTGGATTTTGAAATGAAAAATTTAATGTGCCGCCATCGGGTCCAACGCGTTTCCATAACTTTTTGTGAAAACATCCGTCTGGAAATCCGTATATTAAATGGGCGGTAGGAATATCGAAATTTCATTTGCGACACAAATGATCGTCCGGACCCTAATAAAAAAAGTAAGAGTTTAATCGCGTTTCGGTTACAGTCAAAGCATGATCCAAATATCTGAATTATATTCGTCACTGTTAATTACTATTAGTATTAAATAATAGATTTTTAGCTTGGGGTACAGATTAAACAAGACGTGCTGTCACCCTATGTTGGCTTTGGAAATAAATAAAGATACTTACGGTATACGGTAGTGAGGTTTGACAATGCCCATGCGGCCCAATGCTGGCACTGCGGCGTGTGGTAGGTCTTCAGTAGAGTGAGGATTGGTTGGAAGGAGCTGCGTAGAAGAAAACTAACATCCTTACTATTATTTATGTAAAACACTAACGACGCTTTAAAAAGCAAAATTTATTATTCTCCCCGTGACCATGGCTGCTGTGAAGCATCCAAAACATCGGTCCGTAGGTAAAACAATCAAATAAGTTTAACTAATATATTTTGCGTTTAAACCGTTAAGATGCTGTGTGTGTTTTAAATAAATATGTACTACTCGCGTAAACTACAGACGGATGGGTATCCTAAGTGTATCATAAATGATTTATGTAGTAAAGTAGATTAACATAGGTATATAGCAGAAAGAAAAGTAGATTTTTGTATTTATTTTAGATTTTAAACCATAACTCTGACCTATCCTTAAATCAAAACAATTATCCATATAAAAGTACGCTTAAAAAGTTTTCACTGCCATAGTCATATAAGACCTATATGTCCATGATAGACACGAGTCTTAGACTTACCGGTAGTTTATGTTCCTTTCCGCCTTTCGATTCCACCGCTTGACCGCAGAGGTGATCCGTTTGAGCACAGCGTCGCGCGAGGGCGAAGCCGCAGTCCAGGCCGCGGGCCCGTCGGACGCCAAGTGTGCCAGGACCCCAGCCGCATTGTAGCTAACCTGGAAGTTAAAAAATACGGTATTTATTATTCATTTCGATTGGGTGTAATGGTACCAATGTATCAACGTCGAAAATCGTGAGTTCAATCTGCACCAGGTCTAACATTTTTCTAATCAATAACTGTTCCGAAACATGTTGGACTTCGTCTGAAAACCTGAATATTGAAATGGGTGATAGTGTCGAAATTGCACCCGGGTCCGAAAACAGTACACAGATGATCTTAATTCTTTAGTTTAATCTTGCTTCAGTTTAAGTCTGTGGATTTCCGAATATATGTCAATGATTATAAAATCAGTACTTATTTAGAGAATAAAAAACAAAGCATTTTGAGTTAAGCAACATGCGATACTACTGACCCACCGTATCAGTGGGATAAGACAATACGTCTATCGCAAATTTAAAGGCGTCCCGAATTTCAAACTTTAATTGACTTAATTTTAAACTAAAGTCTCGTTTTCCCCAGCGGGGTATGGGGCGGAACAAATTTCTGTAAACGTTTCAATCGTTTTTTTTTAAATGGGAGTAATTGATCAAATTTGTGCCCTGCCAGAGTGAAACACTTAAATTATTCTCTGGGATTAAAAGCAGGGCCTCCCATGTGTAGTGTATAATAAATAAGCAATACATTTGGAAGGAGAAAGACTATGCTGACAAGAGTGGCGGCGAGTTTCCAGTTTCACCAGAGACCAGTTCTTCTCGTTCGTTCTACGTCCTTAATTTGGTTCATACGTTTATAAGTGTACATAGGTACCTACGTGAGTAATATTTTTTTCATTTGATTTGATTTAGCCAATGGGCTACTTAGGTAGATAATAAATAACCACAGAATAGAAGTTCGACGCTTAGGTAGATTATCGAGATACAACTCTCGTATATCGAGATAAACACATTCAGTATATCTGCTTAACAGGCAACTTGATGAGTAACTTCAGTGCCCTTTCTGACAGAAAGTTTTTTTTTAATTCGTGCCAACACAATGCGAAGCAACTCACTTTATATTTGAAGACAACATTTTTAAAACTTTAATGTATAAGGAAACTAAATCACAAAGTATCCAGATCTTATTTATCGTAGTTGAAGTAGGTAAACTGTTATATTTTACGTTTTAAACCGTTAAAAGTGCTTTATTTACATGGCCACTTCTCGCGTAAGTAGTAAGTAGTAATCTCAATCTCAGTCATACAATTGTATGACTGAGATTGAGATTTTATTACCTCGATTCCGTCACTCTCAGAGTTCAATAGATCGTAGAACACGGTAAGCAGACCCGTGTACATGAGTTGGGGGCGGAGAAAGGGCACCTCAGCCACATTGCCGATGAGGCCCAGCATGTTTCTCACCAGCTCCACGTTGTCGGGGAAATACTGAAAAACAAAAGAAGATTAAGAATCATTACCTCACAAGGGTGCTGGGCCCTCGTCATATTGAATTTTTAGTTTTCATCTAATTTCATTTAGGATTTTTTCCTTCAATATAGGGCAGATTTTATGTGTTCATATGTACATCATAGATGTTAGTTAGAGATTTATGTCTGTCAGCGTATGTTGCACTTTAACACTTAAACTATATATTTTAACTTAATAGAATTACAAAACGCCAATTAATTCGTAAAAAACACAAACAACAGTAGGTACAAATAGTAATACTTTGTTTGAGCAAAAAGAGACAAAATATGACTTTCTTTACATGTGTTTCCTCCATAATAATACGTTTCTCTCTTTTTTTTTGTAGTTAAAGCAGCAGAATTACATTATTAGTAAAACAAAACATGATAAATAGCAAAGTCCAAGTAATAAATCAAACTCGGTCAAGCACTGACCGGCAATAGTTGTATGAAAATATGTCATTGTTAGCGGTCAAATAAATTACTATGTAAAATCATACACGTCGTGTGATAAAACAATGGAACGATCTTCTCCGAAACATGGCGACTAGGTAACTTATCAAAGGTTAATTGAAATTTCGAATTAGCTTGCACATAGAAAACTGCTTAGTGAAGAAAAATACTATTGTTGTTCGTCATTGTTTTTGAATCAATGAAAGTCAAGTTCTGAATTGTACTACTTAGTTTTATTTACGCGCATTACTTGAGTGAAGTACTGCCACAACTGGGCATTGATGTACATACGTATGTGTTCACGCGCTCGTCCATCAATACTTCACTTGCCGGCCACTGCAGTTAAATACAATAATTATATAATATTAAATCGTTTTTCGTAACTGCCAATGTACGAACCTTCAAGCAAGCTCGGAAAAAGAGCATTCCACGATTGTCTAAGAACCGCTGGCAGTTCTGCGGGGTTTCGTCGGTGACGTTCCACATGGTGGACCAGGCCACCTCCATCACTTCGTCGCAGACACGGCGCTCTAGTCGCTCAGCGATCACGTGCAGCATTTTCTAAAGACAGAGATATATATATATATATATATATGATTTATTACACATAACAGAGTGGAAAATACGACATATAAGTATGTTAAATAGCACATTAATTACAACAGACAAGTGTGGACTTCACTTTATGGAGGTTGAAATACCTCATATATCATTTAAACAAGATGCGCTGATATGTATTTTAACTTTGTATTTCGGGAATCCACAGACTTAAGTGAAAATTCAAATTTCATTTAGGCCTTTTTATTCTTTAGAGGGTGGGTTTGGGACATTATATATATAAATAACTCAGCAGCAGTTGGTAAGAGCATATTAAAATAGTATTTTATAAAAATTATAACAAACGAAAATGAATAATCACAAATGTGCATCATAATAACACCATTAGATTCATTTAGCACAAAAAGATCCAAATTAGACATGTAGGCTCTAATACTGATCAACACCTTGCATAGTTTCATGGGACTCTTATGAGGTTAACATATACTAGTCCTAAGTTCAAATTCTAAGTAACAGTGCAGTCTTTTAGTAGTGCTAGACAGAGGACAAGAAAACTGTGTTTAGCACCACATAATACTCTTTCATTTTTATTAAGAAACAAAAATGAATAACAAAATTCCCAAAGTAGGAGAATTTAGTTTTTGGAGAATTGTGGTATTTTTTATGTATTATTCGCAAAGCACGCTTCGACTAAGAAAAGCTTAGTTTATTTTCTTTCATTATAGATGCAAGCATCAGATTCATCTGATGTTGGGTTAAATACTTCAGCCATATAACATATAATTAGCTGTATTGCGAAAAAAGTTCGAATTTCAAATTCGACACACACATTTCTTAATCTTAAACTAACCTTTGCACATAAGATATTAAGATAAATCAAAAATACGATAATATACACACCACACAGCATAAATTCAACTATATATGAAAATTCCATAACTCGAAAATAAAGAAATCAACGCTGGCCGCTTCTGCTAGTTAACTTATAAGCTATAATCAAGTTTACAACATTAAGTGTTACGCAACAATAATTTCTACATTTACGAACTAGCACAGTATTATTCAAAATAGCATCAAAGTAGTGTTAAGCTATTTTGTATTCACCACAATCTTTTATTACATTAAAGCCGTCGCCCCTTAAAATTAATATAAAAGTTCAATAAAAGCCATCCTGCCATTGATAATTCTACAATTGTAATCTTTGATCTCCTTACCGATATAGCTCCTTTGTCTCCCAGGAACTGCTTCTGTCTCCCTTCCACTTGACAGGCGAGCGCATTGAGCAAGTAAATCGCGATACGCTGCACAAACCACTGGTGTCTGGTCTCCGACACTATAAGCAGTAGTTGAACGATGCGCTCGTACTCGTACAGCTGAAAACAAACAAAATTACTTTAAAATGGGAATATATAGGATATCTTAAGGGTGATGTTTAAAGATAGGAAAATATTTTTTTGCGCTACACGTTTTTTTTTTAATACTCACCACATCCACTGGCATTTTGAATTGGCACAGAGTAAGACTTGCATTCCTAATCAAAGTTTCATTGCGAATGTGTGCCTCCATTGCATTCAGGAGTATTGTTATGATGCGACGCTTCAGTCTCAAGCCAAACAATGCTCTTTTATCACTTTTCACAATGTAAAACAGTATGGCACTGAAAAATAGTTAGAGTCCTAGTTAAGAATTATTATCAAACACAGAAACATCAAGTCTTTAAATTCACACAATTTAACATGTCAGCTCACATACTACTTATATATATATATATAAAAAAAAAATGTCTTACCTCCCAGAGATTTGTATGTGCACTACTCTCAAATATGTTTCCATAGCTTTGAGCACGACACCCAAAGCGAGCTGAATATTGGTGACCCGCTCATCACGAAACAGGTGGTAGAGATCATTGAGAACCCGTGTCATTATGGTAGGACGGCCAAAGTAAGCTCTAGCAGCAGCCAATATTTGAGCCTCATCCTTATCACCAGAAATCTAAAAATAATAAGTTTTTTTTTAATATCTAAATCTAAAAGACTTTCAGGTCTAGAAGGACTAGACTATTTAGGACAAATTTTTATTTAAATAATTCTGTGGAGGTTACATTATCTGACTCTCAATATGAGGCAGTATATAACTAGCAATGTCTATTGTACATTACTGAAGTGGCCGCCAAGAGACGTTGATGGACAAACAAGTGAATATAGTATGTAAGTCCACCATTGCCTAGTTGTGACTAAGGCTTGTAAAGTACTTTTCTAAAACAATGCGCGGAAATTAAAACTAAGTAGTACAATTCCGAACTTTAAAACCAATGACGAAGTTGACGTACAACAAATAACGATAGTGTTTTACGCGCCCAAATATTTTTTTTACTAAACAGCTTTATATGTGCAAGCCAGTTAGAAATTTAAATCTTTGATAAGTTTCCTCTTTGGTCGTAGTGTTATGGAGTAGAAGATCGTTCCATTTTTAAATTACACAACAAATATCATTTTACATAATAACTTATTTAGCCCCTAAACACGACAGATGTGGATTTTCATAGAACTATTGCCTGCCATACCATACAGTCAAAGTAATACTTAAATTTTCAAGCATGTTTGAGAAAAAAATATCAAACCAGTTACCAAAAGTTTATGAAGATGCAATAAGCATAATTAAGGTCTTCAAACTTCAGTGTGTGAATCCCATATAGTACAATGGAATGTTTGGAAATTGATTTATAAAGTAAAGCAATTCTCCCTGTAAGTCATGAGTACACACATTCCTGTGACTTTCATGGCTTGACCTTTGCAACCAAATCAATGTAATATTCCCTTACGATTCAAAACCAAGAAGCTATATAGACATAGACATTAGAAAGTCAGTCATATATATAGAACAAAATATTCTAATCTAGCAATTGAAATTACAAGTTTTATTCTTCTTATTACCATTTCTTTTGCAAATATAAACTTCAATATGTATTTATTCATTGAAGGCCTTAAATTTACTAGTAATAAATCCAGTGCAAAGATAAAAAACTACTTACAATTATAGCAGGGATGTCATGGCGTCTGCATGCAGCATTAGCAGTTCCATATAAACCCAGGAACTCCAAAGGCAGGCCAACACGGGTGACTAAACCAGGTATATCACATGTATGTACTATTTGATTTGAATCACCATCTTCAACAATTGTAGCTGTTCCTGCTCCAGCTCCAGCTAAATTTGAGCCAGATATATCCAAGGACATAAGCTTCTTCAGGTGACGCACCAACATGTGCAGTGTTTTGTTTGGATCCAAGAAACTCTCAAAGTTGGTGTAGTCGTGTGATATATCTAGATGAATTAAATTCTGCTGCTGACAGATCCAAGTGATGTTTTCTTCAGTATACTGAATATTGTGTAAAACCAACGACTGTAGGCTTCTCAGATGTCCAAACTGTGATATTCCTTGAGCAACGTGGGCTAAATCCAAATGTGTCAGATTCTCGAGTGATGTCATGAGCGTCGATGGCATGACATCAATATTCAAATAATGCATAGTTAAGCGACGTAGGTTCTTAAATACTGTTTGGTTTTCATTGGGAATGTACATATGGGCAAGGGTTTGGCTGTTAAGATGTGATAACTGCCCTATATTTAGATTAACTATGTTTCCACCAAACTTGTGGATTACATTTCTAAGTGCATATATGATAACATTACACTCAACCAATTCCACCACAAGTGGTTTGTGGGCAAGCAGGCACTCAAGCCCTATATGAGTGATTTGGGTGTTTCTCAGCTTTACTATTGTCAGTTTTGTGCGTTTACTATCTTGAAAAAGGTTTGCAAAACCATCGGTAAGGGTGAATCTATTTTGGTATTCCTCCAGCAGTTTATCGCATACTGGTGCTGGTAGTCTAATGCCTCTGCGCAATGAGTATGTCCGAGTTGCGACATTGTAATAAGTGATCACCCTTAGATTGTTCACCAGGACATCTACGCATTTATCGGCTAAGCTCACTGGATTGCTATCGTTAAGGTGAAATGATTCTGCTTGAACCCGCATATTGATTCTTAATGTGGACGTCACCTTCTACTACTCTTAACGCCACAAAAGATCCAACAAAATCATATATTTATAATATATATAAATTTTCCACGACCTTACTATCGAAGCCTATGACTGAAAATCGTTGGCCATTGAAAATACAATATACCCAAACGATACACCGATGAGAAATAATGAATTTGCTTACGATATTGAATGCTAAATTTCACTACAATGTCGAACTTCTCGTATTCACAAATATGGCAAATGCGTAACGCAAAATGGAAAATGTTACATGGAACGCTGATAATTCAAAATGTCATTCCTTATTTAATTCTTCAATCACCATAGAGCATATATCGTGTCTATGAAATCAATAGATTTAACAGAATAAGATTTTTCTAGAAAACTTACCGTAATTAAACTAAATAGTACAGAAAAGTAGTAAGTAGTGAAAAGAGTAATAAAAGAACGCCAAACAGACCGATAAATAAAAGTTCTACTTTTGTTTAGGGAAATAATGTAATAATATATCTTACATTGAATAGGTTGTATTAACTGTATCACACAAGCTCAGACTTATTAAAAATTAATAGACAACAAAGACAAATATTATGTTGATTAATAGGTTAAACCATGGATGTATGTCTTATTTTATGGCGGGAAAATGCAAGTTTATACTTTATAGTAAGGAAAAAAAATGGGTCATCGTGAAGAAAAATGAATTAACAAAACAAGCGATTTGGTCCGAATCACTTATTTGATTTATTAACATTTTAGCTTCTTTAATTATTTTTAAAGGTACGATTCTTGAATACTAAAATGAACTTAAATAAAATTCTTTTACTTAAACTACATTAATTATAGTTACGTTAGTTTCTGCACTTTGAATGTCATATGTACACCAGAGATTATGTACTATTTTATTATCTGTCTTACGTCTTTAAACATAAAGGCTTTTGTTGTATTTGTTTAGGTTATAACTTTATCTCTGAATTCTTTATGGCTTTAAGGTCTCGTTACCAGGCCATTAAATATAAAAAATATATATTCTAAGAGCTGTAAGTAAAGGAATTACAATTATTCAAAATATCTAGCCGTTTTCAAACATCATATTTTTGTAACGTGTTAAAAATAATTATTTTATTTGTTCAGTATTTCATATATATTGGCGAAGGGTCAATTGTTTATGATGTTATGTACTGATATAGTTTATTAATAAATGAACAAATGTTGGCAAAGTACAGCATTGTGAGTTAGAAAGTGTCTTGTAAGTTACTATTATATTTTTTTATCAGTAGTTTTCAAATGTAATTTTGTGTAATTGTCCATGTTAAATACATACATATATAATATGTCAACGTAGGACTCAAGTTCAACAATTTAAGCGCTAATGTCTAAAGAGATTTTGTTTTTTTATTTCGGGTTCAAAAGGGTAAAAAATTACATCTTAATAATGTTTAATATCTATATTCCATAGGACATCCTTTTAGGGGTTTCATAAAAGAGAATTTGGCTATAATAAGCATTAAATATAGTTCCGGGCTCCTGGCTCACTTTCCCTTTCCTTACTAGTACTATTTTATTCCGTAATCTCTCGAAATAAATGATAATAAAAGTTACGAAAGTTAGTAATTAAGTTTTCTTTATAGTAAACACTTCAATACAATATTTTTATTTCCTTTTATTTCAGATTCTTGAGGAATTTGATCTACATACCGTGTATAGTTCCAGTAATAAAGAGTACACACTAATCTCTACATAAGCAAAGTCAGCAGGTATAATCATATCATAATAAAAAATATAGATATATTTATCATTTGATATATTTATATATTATATGATGATGATGGGCGGAGGTTTGGCCATCTCCATGACCTAGCTTCTGACTAGGGAGGTGGCCAAACCACTATTCTCATACAATTAACACAATGAATACACAACAAAAACAAAATCATCATGACTGTCGTGAAGCCATGATGGAATTATGTAGATTCATTGGGAAAGAAAATATAGATATCGCTCTGACGAACACACGAAAAATATGTCTAAACAGGCGGGTGGTCAGGATGGGCACTCTGGGAGGTGATCTAATCTACTATGATGGTGAGTCTGATCCCAGGGCGTGCATCCATGTGAGCAACAGGCTGACATCGCTAGAACTCATAAAGTCTGACTGTTACAGAGACTTCTGGAATTCTGAAGAAATCCTTGTTTTATTCAAATAGTTGTTACTTGTATTCTTAATTAACAAAGTTGTTACCTTGTGAAAGTGACTAATAAATGATAAAGAAATAATTGGTATTGTTTATTTGAAACAACAAATACAGTTTTTATCTATTGTACATACAACTTGTAATGTAAAGCTAGAGAACCGTCAATATTACCAAGAAGCAACATGAGAACTGGCTAACTGCATGTTACCTTATGTTAAGGTAACAGTTGCAAACTATTGATATACTACATAACTAGTTTTATATGAATTGTTGGAAAACTATTTGTATCTGTTAGTAGTTACAGTTACATATTTGTAATAACATTCAGTCAAATACAGAAATCTCAAATCAATTGTTGTCAATGAAATTAAAAACAGTGATCTTTGCTTTAAAGTCATGTAAAATAAATATATTATTGTAAACAAAGTTCGTTAGATTCTATTTGGTGAGTTAGGTCTTGTAAATTACATTGAAATTTAAATAAAACATAAATTTTAAACCTATTTTTAACTACGACCCGACGTTTGGATGCTTCACAGCAGTGATCCGTCGTGACCCGTCGTGACGAAACGTTAGATCATAGTTAAAAATTAATTACCTAGTATGGGCGCGCGTTTTGAACCGTTCTTAAGTTATTTGACGAATACGTTTTCAAACCTCTTCATATTTTTTATAAGTTAAATCATAAATATTTATACTTGATTTATTTACAGCGTGGATCGTTTAGGACCTATAGAAAGGAAGTCTGTATTCGACTGACATTATCACCAAGTGTTGTTAATCGCCAATATAAATTATTCTACATCTACAATTTATAATTAACAATTAGATTATAACATAAATTATTTTAGGTACCGAATACACTTGTCGAAAGTGCAAATTTTACTGAATACAAATTGTTATTGCTTATATCTGAATCAATCATCTTTTTCTATTATGTCAAAATACTTTCACTCGAACATCTTGCATCGACTAAAATATATAGCGTACGCAGTTATTGGTGGAGAGGGGGATAAATTAAATTTGTATGGTTTCAGGTGATTTTGCGGATAAAGTGGGAACTTGTTGAAAGTAATAAAAATATAAACGAGTAATGATGTTAACAATGTTTAAATTCGTGCTTAGCTTTGAAAGTAGTAAAACAAGGCGCACTGCGTAGTTTTGTATGAATTAAATTCGATATATACAGGAATATAAGGAAATCCTGCGCATTATATTTGATAATGAAATAGAAACGTAAATGTCACATAAGATATTGTTATCTACTTTAATCGATAAAATCGACTTAAGACTTAGAATCGACGATCGATTGGGCTTCAGGTGTCCCAGGTATTGCCTTAACTGCGTACGCCTACGTGCATAATCTAAACTTATAGGTACATGGCACACTCGAACGCTTAAAGATGCTTTGGTGGATTAGTAATAGCTCCTATGTACAGTGAAATTGTGTTTCCCATCGTGCTAAAGCAAGCTAATACGCAGCACTTAGTTCTTTGGCGCGTGCACGCCTTGCGGTATCCTCACTGAGTGTTCAGTTCGCGCAGGCGCAGATGGTCAGCCAGAGGGTGCGTGGGTTCCCGCCTCTCGTTCGGCCACTTCACCACGTTGTTCGCCGAGTTCGGAAGTGTTACCGGTGGTTCGACGAGGACCGGCAAACCGCCTTCGCGTTCTGGCAGAATGTGTCCGAATATGGCGCCGACGCGGCGATAAGTGAGGTGACTTGGCTGCATCTCCCTTCCTTCTAGCACCCGGACTCCGTTGCCGACGTGGGTGACCACGATGACGGGTGCATCTGGTACAATGTCGTTGAGCGCCCTCATCAATACGGGTGCCGATGTCTGCGGGGCCGCACAAGTTGCCTCGCCGCTCAGTCTGGCGTTCAGACCTTCTAGCACTGTCATCAGCTCGTACAACCGATCGTCGCATAGCACCGGATTATCTGGAACAGTGAAAGATTGGATGGAATGGCATCAAACGTAATGAAAAGTCAGTTTTTTGTGCCTTTGGAGAGGTGTTGTAAATAATAATTAAAATTAAGAACAGAAGCTTTTTAATCTAAAAATTGTAAGAATTTGCTATCCTCATAAATCGCTTTGCAAGTCACATCGCATCGCAACAAATACAAAAAATACGCGAAACATGTTAGTTAATTTATATTTTAATACCAACCCAACGATTTGGATGCCAATTTTATATTTCGCATTATAAACTATCAAAAATATTTTATTTGCATAAACTACATACAGTACTTAACACTAGTTCTAAGCAAGATAACCAACCTTGAAGGTAAATCTTCAATATGCTGGGGACACCATTAATTGTGCATCTTGATTTCGAGACGACCTCGTAATTCACAGATTGTATTTTGTTGTATGACAAGTCAGCAGTGCATAACGACGGTAGGCCGTGAAAGTCTTTGTCCAGCGATGTTATGTTGTTGTGATGAGCAATTAGATCCTCTAGGTACGGCAGGAAGGTCTGTAATACAATGTATGGCTTATGGAAAATTATGGAGGTTCAACGCCAGTTAAAAAAAGTATTTAACTATAGATTGAAACCGTATAAGGCGTTTGCGGCCATTTTGCAAAGGGTTTTCAAGTTGTATGGCTGTCTTTATTGAGGAATGATTCTCGAAGTTTCGCCAGCACAATTGTATCTCCAAGTAATGTTGAGTGTTTCTCATTTCAACAATTACCACAGCTGTACACCTCTAAACCCGAATAGCTTAATAGTTAATCTTCCATTTTGGCAGCCGGGTACACTTAATCAAGGAAATATAAACTTGTGTTGAATTAAGTGTCTAGATGTGTAAATATATATTTTTTATGAAAATATTGGTAACAATAAGTAATTTGTACAATATGTTGACCTGTTTTTTGGTCTCGGAAGCTTTGAACATTTTATTACTTTATATCTACTACAACCTCTATTTTTAAGTAATACTCGTACACTCGTTATAAAGGTTAATTTATAGATTTTTATTATTAACTGTACCTAGCTAAATAGATGAATAAATCAATTTTTGATTTTGTATAATAGATTTGCCTTCTATCGCAATACTGCTAAACGCTGCAACCAATGCCCGAATTGAGGCAACATGAACATAATAACTGCATATGCAACACGCTTCAGCTCGCCAGCGAATAGTATCAAACAAACCTTCGAAGTCTCCTCTAGCGTAGTAATACGATTGTAAGAAACATCTAGCAGTCTCAACTCCTCCAAACCGATGAGGTCGTCTGGCGATATCTGCTGGATCTGGTTGTTACTCAAATTGAGTCGAAGTAACCCGTGGAGGCCCATCAGTGCTCCGCCCAGATTTAGAAGGTTGTTGTGGTCGAGTCTCAGCTCAAGCACGCGCGTCTCCACGTCGACAAGATTCTGGATAAAATGTATTTATTTATATACACACAAATATATTAACACAGACAGACAAACAGATAAAATCTAATTCGACAGTAACATAATGATACTACATTATTATATTATATACAAATACAATAAGAAAACTAAATTTTAATATTATTTTCATTACTACTTGTAACAATTATGTTAAGAAAAGTATTTGCTTGTTGTTTGCGTGATGAGAGCCCTTGACATCAAATTGGAACGCGCGAAAGGCACAACCAAGCTAAAAAAAGAAAATGTTCATGGTAATTTAACGAATTAATACTGTCTATAGTTTACGCGAGTAGTACACATTTAAATAAAACACTTTAACGGTTTAAAACGCAGCCGTGGTCACGGGGGGACTGTCCCCCCGTGGCCACGGCTGCTGCAAAGAATAGGAAGTTAAAAATCATTTTCAAATAAGTTTAACTAATATATCGTGTTTTAAACCGTTAAAGTGTTTTATTAAATAAAATAACGTCTCTTGATTTGTTAACGTGTAACAGTCAAATAATAATCTTTATTTAGCCTATTTCTATGAGTAGAGCACATTTACATACCGCCACATTATGGTCGCGCAGGGACGTAACGTCCACTTCGGTTAGCGTACTTAATGACAGACAAGAATAGGGCAGGTGTGATGTCGACCTATTTTGGCTTTGGATTGTATACACTCATAATTACCTCCATATTTCCTGTAATATAACTGATTTTGTTATGCGAAAGGTCGATAACAGACAAGCGTTTTAGTCCCTTAATCTCCTGCAGCGAGAATTCGGTGAAAGAATTATGGGTCAGATTGAGATAACGCAGTGATTTTAAACTCCTTAATGAACCGTTCAGAGCCTGCAACTGATTGTAGGCTATGTCCAAGTCGGCCAGTATCTCTGCTTCGGCGAAATCGTCTTCAGCAAGCTGAAATAAATTATACAATTCATTGTTTGATTTATTATCACTTGATTAAACATTGTTCATTTAAATGAAACACTTTAATTAAAACGCGATATATATTAGTCGAACTTATTTGGAAATTATTTTAACTACTGTCGCGTTTTAAACTGTTAAAGTGTTTTATTTCTACTACTAAACTACAGGCAGTGTTTAAACATTGTTTATATTATGCTCATTGTCTTCAGATTCTAAATCATATATACCATATGGTGAAACTTTGTTCATACAGTAAATTATAATTATATATGTATATAATGAAGAATTACCCCATTCGACAATCTATTAACTACTATCAGCGTAAAAAACTCACAAATTCTATTTTGTTAAAAGAAAGGCTTATTGTCATCAGACGGCGAGACTTCTGCAAAGCGCCCTCTAGTGATTTTATGTGGTTGTCGTAGAAATACAGGGACTCCAACGATGGCATTTGCTTCAAATCCTTGGGCAGACTTTGCAATTCGTTGTGCGCTGCGTGAATGAGCACTATTTTCTTGGCTTTCTGTAAATTAATACAAATTATCATAATAGATATTTACCTTTCTACGCAAGTGTTAAGGTTGAAATTGCATTGCTCAAGGTTAAAAATTTCGACGATGACGTTAGGACACGGGAGTTCAATTGGTTAGAGCAACAGCACGGAACGCTGTGGATGCCGGTTCAAGTCCTGCCTGTGTATTTTGTTTTCAATTTATAATATATTTTCAATTCAAAATAGATATTTCAATAAAATTTGTATACTTTAAATCCTTATGGGCCATACACATCAAGCGGTTTACCTTCAGCGTATTGCACCGCTTGGTGTGAATAGGCCCTTATAAGTATCCGATTTCAATGTTATTATATAAATATAGAAATAAGCATTTTATATGTATACTAGCTGACCAGGCAAACGTCGGTCCGCGTTATTAAATATTTCTTAGAAATTGCAAATGCAAAAATGTAATTTATTGTGAGTAGGTATGAATGAAAGAGGATGTTTATACTAATAGAATGCACGTACTTATAACGACACCGACACCTTATAAGGAAGTAAAAATATTGGATTAAAAAGAATAAAAGTTTTGGTTCTAGACATTATTCTTGCACTGTATTGTCTAATCACTGATAGATCTTATTTGAAAGAGAGTTAAATTGACTGTGCACTGCCAGATGCCAGAGAAGAATTAAGGCCGCTAGTGGCAGAGTAGCCTAACTGCAATCTTATGACTTAAGTTATTTATATTTTCATAGTCTAAAAATATTAATCTACAAGAGTACAGTGACCGAAAATCGTTCATTACAACATAATTCTTACACAAATAATAGTACAAATTCATTTTTGCCTAAATTAATTGAAACATGTTTATTTATCCTTTGGGTATCGAAACCAGGGTTGGGCCACGGTGGTTGTTGAGGGAGGAGTATAGTCCATGTAATACTCACAATGGGTAACTCATTCTCAATAGACTTTAGATCATTTGCATTTATGAATATCCATTCCAGCTCATCCAAGTCTCGTAATGCCCCATTCAGACTCGTCAATTTGTTTATACCGAGATGCACGTGTTTCAAGCCTTTAGGAACAGCGTGCCTTTCGATTTTCGATATTTGATTATCAGCAACGAGGAGATGTTCCAGTTCTTGGATATCCTGAAATTCGTAAAAGGTTTGTTAGCTGAATATATAAACTGAAAAAATAGCGGAGGACAGGCAAGCGTGTGATTTAATTGATTCAAGGTGATATGACCCCATATTACTTCCAATTAAAATGCGCTGTCGACCCATTTGGCCTTTGTACATTGAAAAATCCCCAGATGGAAACGTTAAAAGGCCGGAAACTTTGTCGATCGTGACTAGACAATATTCGATATTCTTACTAACAAAGTCAAAGAGAAGTATAAAAAATTTTTAGAAACTTGTTGAATACTGTGGGAATCGAATCTACAACTGACGCAATCCTTCAAGATCTCGTCACCTTAAAGTCCTCCTCAGTTAGCTTGGTGATCTTATTCCTGCAAAGGTCCAGCGTTTGGATGTGTGGCAGGTGTCGGAGGACGTTACGCGGCATCTCGGTCAGAGAGTTGTCTGCCAGACTGAAGTAGTCAAGCAGATCAAGTTTGGCGAACACGCTCTCCCTCAGTTCACTGCAATAGAAGAATGAATAAGACAGTGAAAAATTCACTCATATATTAGCACAAAAGATATACAACGAAAGGGGCACATTGGGGCAAGGGGCGAACATAATTCTGTGTATGTTTCACTGTATCAGTTCTTTCACAGGTCAGTTCTTTCACAGGTCAGTTCTTTCACAGGTCAGTTCTTTATCGGACTTCTGTACCCTGCCCGCCTGAAACAATCCCTTGTTTTCCCGGGATTCGAAAGCTTAACCCTCTCGCGCTTAACGCAAAGCTAGGCAACATGTTTAACCATTTAGCTACAGAGGCTGTCTAAGGGATACGTACATTAATGAATCTAAAGGGATACATAGACTTTAAAAATTAATAATCTAATAATTAAAGAAAGATCAGTATGAAAATATAATAAGCGTATCATTGTTTGGAAGTCTTATACCTAAAGTATTTCGACCAAAAATTGATTACCTCACAAACGGTTCTTGTGAGTTTATCTTAAATATACTGTCGCAGACTTTTTTTAGATTACTTAAAGAAGAATAATTCTTTTATACGTATTTTTGGGTATCTTGAACAGTTTTCGCAGCGCACGCAACAGAAACGGTTTTTTTCCACATTTCCCTCTGTTTCTTCGCTTCTACTAGTCGCGGTGCGATGTATTACATCCTAAAGCCTTCCACGTTAAATGCCCCTAACACAAAACAGTCATTCATTTCAAACCCATACTTCCCGAGATTAGCGAGTTCAAATAAACAAACTCTTCAGCTTTATAATATTAGTATAGATAAGAACGGTATCGGCGGTCTAGGCTTCGAGTTTTGTATATAACATTTTTTTATATTCTTACACGAGCTGGTATGCTCGCGACTTCGTCCGCATAAAATAGTTATTTTATACGACGTCGGTCGCGTCCCTTCCCGTCGTTCTTGCGGGATTATGTTTAAAGATAGACATATATAGCGTCTTTTTCTAAAAGAGGAATCATTCTTTAGCAATATTCAGCATACGCGAGGCGTATTGAAAAACACCCATAATAAATTGTCACATTTCCCGCTGTATATTAGTCACACCTATCACTACTGGTAGTACCAGTGAATGTGTGATCACTTTCATCCGGACGTTCGATGATGCGGATAAAAGTGTGAAGATAGAAAGAGAGGAACTAAGACGCGGGCCGTCTGTGGCGAAAAGAAGAGAAGTTGCGAATTGTTGAAAGGCCTGCGCATGCGTCATAGCACTCTAGTTTAGTACACAAACGTGAGAGGTCGACGTTCCAGGGTTATCTTGGAGGGCTGGCGCCAAACGGTCGTAGGGTCACTACAATATAATACGTAATGATGTACAGATCTTCGCTACAGTTAAACAGTATGTTTGTTTATTTGCGGTTATCTCAGAAACTACCGGTCTGATAAAAAACCAGATATGTTTATTGAGTAGACTATTTAGCTGTGAAGGTTATGGGCTATAAAGACAAGTGCAACATGGGGAGGGGGCATTTTTCATAGCATGCGCAGGAGATTTCTTGGAGTGAGATTATCTGCAAGAATTATAATTTGTTAGCGAAAAATGGTTAGTTATTAGTTCGTGAGACAGCGTCTAGCAACAAAAAAATCTATCTTCACATAGCAGCGGTATGAGATGCCACGTGAGATTGTCGCTTAAGACATTACAAATTATTTATATTATCAGTAAAACGGACACAGAAAAATGTTTGCCTCGTGCCTCATACAGGGAAAACAAAAACAGCTCGTTGGAAACCTATAGACTTTATTCATGAAGTTGAATATGAGCCGAGTCGATTCATAATTGTAGTTGGTACAGGTCAAAGGGTAATTAAATTACAAAATGGGACCAATTACTTGCTGGTCAAACGCTCCTGTGCACGTTTTTTCCATCGCATCACTATGATCAGAAATCACAAATCTATACTAATATTATGAAGCTAAAAAGAAACAAAAAACACAGTTTCTCTTCTTTTCTTATTTATTTGTTCTATCATTAGATCGAATTGAAAAATTATTTGTGTTGGTTAGCGCATTTATTGAATAAGGCTTTTGGCTATAAAACATCACGCTGCGTACAATAGGAGCGAGGATACGGTGGGAAACGTGGAACAAACGGAAAAAAAAATCCTCTTTGAGAGTGTCCGTTGTGTGCGCTGCGGCTTCGGTTTAAAATACCCAAAAAATATGTTTGAAATAATGATTCCTCTACAAATGGACAAAAAAAAATGGCCGCGACAGTATATGTCTATCTTGTACGATTAATTATCAAGAACGACGAAACGGGAACGACGTCGTTGGTATAATTTATAAAGACGAGGTTTATTTCAGGCGAAAACATATTTTAAGGCCCAAAACAATTATACTACGCGGAGGAAGTGAGAGATGGGAGGAAATTAACTGTGACGGATATTTTGCTAACCTTATGTAAATTATTTCTAATCACAATACTTTCGCTAAACTAAGGTTGTTCTTAAAGTACTTAGTTTAATTATCTTTTTAGACGACTAGTTGGACTCCGCTGTTTTACCCATTTTTTATCAGATGCTTTAAGTAGACTAACCGACTAATTAAAATACCTTTCATCAACCAGAAGTCTAATCGAAATTGGTTCAGCAGTTTTTCAGTAAACATTATTTTAATCGTCTTTATAATTCTTAATGGAATGACTGTTCTTAGCCTCCATGCGAAAACGAACACACGCAACAAGTCTGACGTGTTTGTTTGTCTGTTTGTGCAACATATCTACCTAATGTTATTTTGTTAGGAATACTATTAATTTTAAATACATTGTTAGATTATGATTGGCTTCGCAATGCGATGGTCTATTAAATTATCAATACTTACTTTAAATTGAGCTTTTTTCCTTACTTTTCAGGGAGATATCAGGTTTGTGCCTGAGGGGATTTTTAATTTTTATACTTAGATAAGTAAATTAAAAATCAATTTTATATTGAATAAAATTAACGAGACGGGTAGGGCTTAAACCGGGATCCACAGCATGGTGTATTAAAATGATTGCTTATCTCGCCTTAGGTCATTCAATTTGATTAAGTTTGTGTTAGTTAGTTTGTAGTTAAAACGTATAATTAATGTTATTTGTTTGTCAACTCTTATATACAATTTGTCTAATTTCCTGTAATTTTTTCTTATTGTTTATAACATTTAACTATTTGTGAAACTTAAGGATGCATTTTAACCTTTTTTTTTATTGTTATTCCTTAGCTACTTATGTAATGTATCTGTATGTTTTCTTTTAAATAAAACACTTTAACGGTTTAAAACGCGATATATTAGTTAAACTGATTTGAAAATTATTTTTAACTTCGGCCCGACGTTTCGGATGCTTTGCAGCAGCTGTGGTGTTGAGGACCACGGCTCCACGTTTTTAAATCAGTTTAACTAATATATCGCGTTTTATTTAAATGTGTACTACTCGCGTAAACTATAGACAGTGTTTTTTTTTGCTAAATAAATAAATATCCGTGTATTGTTTTAACTAATTGAGCTAAGGTGTTCTACACGTTATGGTCGAAGTTCTCAACCATTGCAATAATATTTTAAGTCCGATGAAAAGTAACAAGCAATAGTCTGATCAGTAATTGTCCTTTGAAGTAAAAATGAAGACAGAGGAAACGGGCACTACACAGCCCTTAACTTAAATTTATTACATTTTCCCCCAGGGGAACAAACACTGTGGCCGTATCACTGATCGCTTTCGTGTAAATATAGGCAAGTTGATCAGACTTCCATGCCGTGCCTGACCGAAACTTTTATATTTTCCCTGAGATGCGATCTCAGGACTTCAGGGACGAGACGTGCCGCGTTTAACCATTGAGCTACGGAGGCGGTCTCATAAATATACGTACATTGTAAATATTATTCGCAGAAGTGAAATCTCTCACCCCTATCGGTGTTTACAAAGATATTACGAACGTTATATAGTTTACATATAGTGGGTATTTCTGATTGCAATAAAACACAAGCGTTATCAAGCACGTGGCACGAGTATGCCTATTTTACCCTTCACAGACGTAATATTTACTTATTTCAACTAAAAATAAAAAAATTATCCGGTTACTATTTTTAACGCGCTGCTAGGGTTGTCCCAAATAATTGTTAGGTGTCGTTTTGAGCAATTTACAAAAATCCTTCAAAATTAAAATTCAGTTTAATCGTTTCACTAATAGTTTAGTATGTTTGATATTATGTTGAACATGATGACGGTATAATATTTTTTTTTCAAATAAGTAAGAGTAGAACGTAGTGCTGTGACCGCCCAATTATAAATGTATTAATATTTAATTAGGCAAGTTTATTCTAACATTTTAATGAAAATTCTATGTTTAATATGTAATGCAACATATAAATATTGGCGTTTTTTTACGACCCTTAGAATGAAAAATTCAGACAAATCCTATTGTCTGAAATTAACGCATACAGAAGTGCATATTTAATCAAACGCTTTCATTTAAATATTCATCTTATACACATATCTCTACACATTAAGTTATCAGCGATTTGAATAGTGATATAGAGTTATTTGTTAGTTCTTCATATTTTACGTTCATGAAAATTCAAAACTACCTACATGATTTTCTGATCATCTTTTATAAACGTGAGGCGGGGGAAAAACATCTCTAACCGTCAGTAATAAACTTTACGATAAGAGCCGTAAGTATGAAGAACGAAATGTATCAACCTTTTCCTGACAGATACGCTACTATGGTCAATATTAGTCGGGTTGTATGTAGATCTCAAATCGATGGTCATATATGATTCTCCATTTATTAGTCAAATACAATAAGAAAAACAATTAGAAATAACACAATTACATATTTAATGTGTTGGTTACGCAAATTAATTACACCGACCACTGCAATGAATCCGACACGATCCGGCCGTAGTTAAATAATACATTGCAGGTTTTCAACCGTTAAAAATATGTTATTTAAATAATCAGAGGTTTAATAGCTGTGGCAGTTGGAACTCGGGCCACTAGGAATATATAGACTACAGCAAAGAATCCTAAACATCGGGCCGTAGTTAAATAATACATTGAACGTTTTAAACCGTTAAAAGTATACTACTAGGAATATATATAGGCCTTACCGCACTGCCTAAGTGTGTTTTTGGAGGAGGAGGACAAACCTCCTCCAAAAATGGGGGTAAGCATGGGGTTAATTGACGAAAGGTGGAATACTCCCGCCATTTAACTTCTCAAACAGATTGGGTGGTGAACCATTTTGGATTACCACGCTCGGAAATGTACAGACTGAAACCGATACACAGTTTTTCTATCTGTGCATCGTGATAGGGACGGAATTTCGATTTTGCACCGATTTAATACTTTAGTTTTCCAGGCGATACCAATCATGTTCATGAAAAATATAAAATCGTATTTTTGTTGGATGATATTTGTTCTAGAACTTTCACCATTAAACCAACACGGTGCTCGATATAATATGTCCGCAAAATAATATGTAGCATAGTAGGTTATGATAAGCTTGTTTTGAAATTACATGTTATGACTACATAATTATTAGTTTTAAGTAGATTCTATTTCTGCGAGAATATTTCTTCCATTATTTTTGACTAGGGCAGCTAAAACGTGAAAAAAACTAGCATTTTTCCTGTTTGAACCTTTTATTTTCTAAAGACAAAAAACACTGTCGCGGACGTATTTTTAGATCATTTAAACAGGAATTATTCTTTCATATTTATTTTGTGGGTATCTTGAACTACTTTCGAAGCGCACGCAACGGAAACCCTCGAAGATGAATATTTTTTCCCCGTTTTTTCACTTTTCCTACTACATGTTTAGCGTGATGTTTTAAAGCCTTTTCTCGTTAAAGACTCTAACCAAAACCAAAATATGTTTTTAATTAAAAGCAGTTGTTCCTGAGATTAGCGCGTTAAAACCAACAAACTTCTTCTTTAGCTTTATAGTATTAGTATTGATGTTCTTCTACCTCTTCTATATTATGTTTTCTTAATTGTTTTATTGTAGTAATATTCTACTTCAAATGACAAGCATGGTGTCCATCCACATACATGTATTAATTTTATTTTCATTTATTATTTTGTGTACGTGTGTGTGTGGATTAAATGATTTAAATTGATTTGATGTTACTAATGTTCTCTTTTTGCACTTCTAGCGCTATGAAAAGTTTCATAATTGAAGTGATGTCCAATAGCTTTTCAATAATATTATTATCGAAGTGCTGAGAGGTCAAACTCGCTTATCGCGACGCCGCACAAGGCCGGCTGCATGGTTTCAATGAAGTTAAAAGTCTTTAACAGATTATAACACTTTGTCTAGGTATCTTAACAGTGTTGCCAGACGTTCCTCTGTTGAGGGTTGTCCCGATTTTTAAGAAAAATTGAATTCAAAGATCGACCTTCATGAAAGTAAAATATTTAATTGTAATTGTGTTTTCAATGTATAGTTTAAAACTTATATTAGTTAGCGTTATAATTTTTTCTGTAATTGTATCTTAGTACTATTGACGTTTTGACTAAAATAGATATGCAGACGTTTCTATTACTATTTTCACGCCCTATTTATTTATTCGTTTTTCCAAAATTGATTCCTAAATAAATGTATGTACATATAAATATTTTTGAAACTTCTGATCATATCTTTTTCATATTTTTTACATATCCCGCTGTTTGCTATAAAAACAAACAAACAAATCCGTCTTGGCAAAAAGAAATCTGACAATGTAATAATACCTAACTTACATACCATATATTATTATCACTTTTATCAATATTAACAAGTGAGCGCAGTAGTTATGTTTCTACATGTTTGTTTGGTTTAAACGAAGGATACCGTTAAATAAAAGTAGAAGAAAATTTTTCATTGTAAACTTTTTGTAAGCTTCCTAGTTATTGTTTATTCATAATATTAGTTATTTTATTACCATTAAAGCGGCTGCAAAAATATATCATTAAAAAGGTCTAACTTCTTTATATACGGAACTCTAAAAAGAAAAAGAGCAACGTAGTAGGTATGTTTTGGTCAACAAATAAATAAATGCAGGTATTTCTACATTTATCGCGATTTTATAAAAACGTATGACTAATTTAAATAAAACACTTTAACGGTTTAAAACGCGATATATTAGTTAAACTTATTTGAAAATGATTTTTAACTTCGGCCCGACGTTTCGGATGCTTTGCAGCAGCCGTGGTCACGGGGAGACCGTTTAAGAGATATAAGAGAGATAAGTTTAACTAATATATCGCGTTTTAAACCGTTAAAGTGTTTTATTTAAATGTGTACTACTCGCGTAAACTATAGACAGTATTTACGTATGACTAATTTCAATTGGCAGTTTCAAGAAATACCCGTTGAAATCAGCGGCGAACATATATTCGCTTAACAGATCGATTTTCTCTACGGTCTTCTGTGCCGTTCCCTGGTCAAAAAAGTATATAAACCTTTTCCAAGATTTTAACATTAGTCCCATATTGAATGCAATGTCAAAATAGTATAACTTATTCTTCGTAATTTTCTAAGTCACGTAAGACATCAGTCTTGTCCTTTACTCGTCTAAAATTCCCACAAATGGGAAACGGGAATCCACGGCCTTACTACATTATGTGAAGCATTAAACCCATTCATTCATCGAAACGCTTAGTTGAATTTATATCGACGAAAACAGTCTTATTTACTATTATTCGTAAAGCACTAAGGGTATCCAATATGGCGAATGCGATATCATTCAATTTTACTGCTATATAAGCGACCTGAGATAACCCGGTAAACTATCGCTCTGCCTCTCCTAGATGCGTTCTCAGCACGAGAGAACAAGAGCACGCTAGGGTCCACGTAAAACACAAACAATGCATGAAACAAAAAATGGAGGCTAACTCCATGATTCATGATTGCGTGGAAATTGGTATCGCAAAACTCGACTATCGAACGACAATTGAAACCATTAGAACCCGAGGTGAGAGGCCACGGCCACCCTAATTATTGACTCGATCTGTCGCACGAAGAAGGAAAATTATCTCCAACAATTACTCGACTACACCTTGTGTTTGCCTACGACAATAGCGGCGATAAGCCATCCCGCTCGGTAATAAATGAGGGAAATTTACTGGGAGACACATCGCGATCAGCTGGCGATCCCCCAAGTTGCCGCCCACTGCATTGATAAAGAATCGCTTATCACAGAGAGCCGTTCTCAACTCGCGCACTATCACAAATGTCGGGGATCGTTTGACACAAAGCGCTCGCACACAACTTGCCTTAGATTGTCGAAGTTGAGCTTCAGCCGAGTTATGGAGAGCCCCAGCTCCCGGAAGGTGTGGTCTGCGAAGTCCGGCAGCTGGGAGTAGGAGATGTCGAGGCCGATCTTGGTCTCGGGGCTGAACTTGTTGGTTAGGGCGCGGGCGATGTCCTGGTAGGTGCTAATCCGTTGGCATATGACGAGGACGGCGCCGGTGCCGCTGTCCTCTCTTCGGCACGTGCAGGGGGATATTTCGCGACGCATCGCGCAGTGGAGGCTCGCGCCAGCCCCCGGATGGCTGGCCAGCGCGCAGAGCGAGACGGCTATAGCGAGCGCGATCATCGTGCGTTTAGGTCGGGGCGGCGCGCGCTACTGCTGCGTAATGGCAGCTCGCAGGTCGCCATAGGCACCCCAACCCCTCCGTCACCACGCCGCTAGCCGTGCATTCTGCAAGCTCTTCACGATTCTTGCGCTACCCGCCAATGCCTACTGATAGTCCTTGATGTTAAACGGATATTTTTATAAACTTTATTTCGTAGACAGTCCTTCTCAAATGTTTCAAATTTGGAATAAAAAGAAAAATTGCTTTATGTTTTCTTTAGGCTACTTATAGTTATAATAATTTTAGATAGAATATTATATTATGGAAAGTAAACATTTAATTAATTCCTTTCCTTATGTGTTTGTTGCTTTTAGGTACGTACGTATTAATTAGAATGGGGGTAATCTAGAGCTACATGTATAAAATTGAGTCAATAATTCGACTTTTCAAACGAAAACGACGAAATTTCTTCATGAATTGAAAACATGTTTCAGTACTTCCTTAAACTTTAAGAGGGCAGTTAAGATAAGGTTTAAATCGATGAATGATGTAAAACTCGAGCCCATCGCATAAAGATGCGCGTTCGACATTTTTTACGAAAGTAGGCTTTTCCATCACTGGGCATTGATTCGTTTCCGGAATTTCAGACTTCTTTCTCAGATTTTTTACATAGTTATTACTTTCTAAAGTCATAAAGAACTCTTTTTATAGTAAAAAGTATTTATTCTATAAGCGATAATTCGCCCTGCTTTATTGCTCTATACTTCTTATTAGGAACTATATTATCAAATAATTTAAGATGTTAGGTTTCCAAACATCATAAAAATAAAGTAAAATAAATTAATATATATCTATACTAATATTATAAAGCGGAAGAGTTTTTTATTTGTTCGTTTGAACGCGCTAATGACTGGAACTACTGGCTCGAATTGAATATATTATATAAGATGATTAGATCATTTATCAAGGAGGGCTTTAGGCTATATAACGTCATTAATAAGTAAAATATGTTAATTATTTTCTAAAAGCGGAACCGCGTGCAATGGCTACTAAAATAATAACGAACTGACTTTTTTGAACCGGTGTAATCGCAATTCATTTCCTGCACTTGAAATGTTTTCGGAACGGGTACGTAAGTATCGTACCGCTTAAAATATTTGGCAAACCCCCCTAATGGACGCTCCATAGCCGCGAGAAAAACATTTCAAAGGGTTCCGCACACAAAGCCGATAGACATCCATCCAATTAACAAACCAGGTACCCTCTGTACATCGATTGTTAAACGTATGTTATAGTGTCGCGTCAAGAAACGCGGGTTAGCTGAACAGTTTTATCTTTATTAGTCTAACGGCTACGCGGTGAAAGGTTTAACGCGATTTCCTGAGTTCAAATCCCGAGAAAATAACAAATTATTTCGCCCGGGCAGGAAGTAGGTACTTGTAAAAAAAATATATTAAAAAGAGACACAGAAATATATTCACCACATCCAGGGGAATCTTTTCACTACGACCTCGCTTTCAGTCTTGCCTGTTACCAGGATTTTCCCAAGACCCACGATGGCTAGAAAATTGATATGTTCAAAAATTGTGTATTTCTCTTGCCTCTATAATAACAAATACAAAAAACAATTCAAAATAAATATCACAGGGAGTCTCGCATATAATAATGCGGTGTTGTGGCCTTATTTGATTAGTAGGCTCTTGAAATATTTACAAAAAATCTCAGTTGCTTTTTTATGTTATTAATAAATATAAAAAAAAAACGCTAGCTAAAGCTAAAACCTTGGAAGGTTGACTACATACTTAATTTGACTCTGTTTATTATTAGAAACAGCGTATATAAAATAAATTACTTTTTCATTTTGTAAGTGTTATTTATACGGAACCCTTCGATCATGAGTCCAAATCGCTATTGGCCGATTTTATACTAAGATAGTGACACATAAACAAATAAACAACGAGATTATGTTATGGCGAGTGAAATGCGCTGTTGCTTATGTGAGACTTCGTAGGAATCGAACCCACGACACGAAACGTCGTTAATAATGTATTAATGAAGTTCGCTTTTTAAACTATTACCTACAGCGTGATTTTGGCGAAATTTTATTCAAAATCCATTTAACATTTAAATAAAACACGTTTGCATGGTTTAACATTAAATATATATTTGGTTACTTGATTGCTTATTTATTTTAATTCAGTAGCCGAAACGTCAGGCCGTAACTAAAATATTGTGTTACTCTCATACAAATCTCAACCAAATAATGTTTAGCAATTTGCCTTTCTGTAAATTTGCGTAGATAATATGTAAGGAGAGAACAAAGAGAAAAAAAAGAACGAAGTTAAATGACATTTTGAGTCTTCTTAACATCAATCGACAATCTAAAAGAAAATTCAAACATTCCTGGGTTTAAGGGTGGTGAAATGTCCCAGCTTAAGGCTGTAGGCATAAGGCGTAAGGCATCTTAGTAATTAAGACCTGCTGTCGATTTACTTACTCACTTACTTACTTACTCCGCTGGCGCAGCGACCCAAAGTGAGTCTTGGCCTCCGAAACTAAAGAGCGCCATTTTTGCCGATCCTGTGCAGCTGTTCGCCATTCGGCTACACCGAGCTCGCGCAGGTCCTTCTCCACGGCGTCCTTCCAGCGATATCTTGGCCGGCCGACAGGTCGGCGGCCAGTTGGAATTCCGATATACGCTTTCTTGACACTCCGATCATCTCCCATTCTCTCCAAATGGCCAGCCCAGCGGAGTTTTTGGGATTTAGCTTCCCCCATTATATTGGGTTCGTTTACGAGGTTTTCGATCTCCTCGTTTTCGCCTCGCTGTCGATTTAAGTTAATATAATTGTTCAGCGCCTAAAATAGGGTTTATTAGCGAAATACTCTGTCGGCCGTCTTCTTCTGTAACTAGTTTTTTACATTTAACAAATTTATAGAAATGCCGATCAAAATCAGACCGTGATGTCCGTACCATTTATAAATTTTCATCCAAATAAATAATTTAATATTCAAGACTGTCTCAATACCTGATGATTACTTTTTAATTATTGAAATCGGACATTCCATTCAAAAGATATCACAAAGTTAAAATAAAAATGCGCCGGCGGTGGCCGCCACGCTGCGCATCGAGTACATAATATCTAATTCGACGATAGGGCTCCTGGGCTCCTTACGCAATGGGCGCGAACGACATTGAATATTCCGATTTTTTTTTAATCATTTTTATGCTTCACTTAAAAAGTTATTTTCAAAGCTACTTAGTTTAGTATTAGGAATCACACTTTGCATAATATTTGTCAAAGTTCTTTTCAGAACTATCGCTTTGAACTTGAATATTTTCTTTAGTAATATTATTAGTTGATTAATTTCTCTGATTTAAAATAAATATCCTTCATAGCAATATGCCTAGAAGAAAAAGGTCGCAGCTATTTGAGAATAGTTCCCAAGCGAGATTAGCAAAGTTTGTCGTATTGGAGAGTCTTCTTCTAATATTATCATCTGGAAAGTATTATAGTTTACGCGTCCCAATCGCAAGCGAGAGAATCTATCGTCGAATGTTCAGGTTCGTTTTGCAGAACAAAATGCAAGATCGTCGCAGCGACTTGAAGGAAATAGAGCTAGGAATTCGCGAACGCGTGCACGGGACTCTTACACTAACCGCTCGCAGCGGCTCCTGACACAGCGTGATAGACGAAGGTCGTTAGCAGCTATATGAGTTGCACTTCTATTAAAACATAATTTCATTGAAACTTGTAACTTAATAAATAATTAAGAATTTATTTTTTTCTTATACAGAAAACAACTAAATTAAATTTTCACTCTCGCTCGAACAAAAGATAACTCATAATGATTATAATACTACCTTTCATTCGCAGCTATGCTTGTTTATAAGAAGTATAGTAATATCATATGCACATGCAAAAAAATTGATACTTTTAATGGTTAAAACGCGACTACGTCAGATGCACTTTGCAGCACCCGTTTCGCGTTTTTTACCGTTAAAAGGGATTTATTTAAATGTGTCCTACTCGGCTAAACTACAAATTACACTACGTTCGTAGTTAAAATTAAGTTAAGTAATATTTTTTTTTATTTAAACCAATTAAAGTGTATTAGTCATATGTGTAATACCTACTCGCGTAAGCCACAGACTTAACACAGACCTGTTATACATTTTAAATTGTAGCTTAGGTTGGCCCAGTAAACGTACAGACAGACATGATTGATCGAGCAAGTATCTGTACTAATATGTATATAAAGTTGAAGAGTTTGTTTGTAAATTATTTAAAAAAATGGAACGCGACCGATGACGTAGGTAACAGTTTACAAAAACAATTTTGGATGCCCAAAATATCTATTCTACGCGGACGAAGTCGCTAACTGAGCTAGTTATGTTTAAGTGAATATTAATAAAGTAAAAATAGTTCAAAAGTCCCTTTTGAATGTGAAATCAACACAATAATCTTCATATTCAAGTCATCAATAAATTAAGCCGTTTGTACACCGAACAACTAATTGATGAAAGAGAAATAACAGAACTTTTACTTACTACTAAAATACTATCACTTGTTAATGGACCATCGTCCTTACACCATTTGTGTATAAGGAGTAAAAGAATAATTAACTTGAACCTGCAATTTTTGACCTATGTTTCGCATTACATATTTATTTTTTATATGAGAAGATACTATTATCTTACTTTCCAACAGGTTAGTTTACCCACATGCGTTGTCGACGTATTTTGGCTTATCATTATAAACTAAATTACCATCCATGGACGAAAGCTGTGAAGCTTTTGTTGTTCGTGGCATTGTTTTGTGAATTACTACAACACATTTATAGTCCAAATTCTTCAGACAAAATCTATCATGTTTCACCCGTGCTCGTTATTTAAAAAATCATAAACCAATAAAGTAACACAAAACTATCTTAATATCTGTGGTCAGTTGGCTCGTCTCTCAACAGCCTTATCAAACCCGGATACCTAACTAGTTTTAAGTTATCAAAAACATTTTGTATAAATTATGAAGGATAATAAAGAAAATAAATTGCTATTATATTACTGTTTAACTAATGTCCTAAAGTAATTCATTACACTAGCTCTTGCCCGCGTCTTCGTCTGCATAGAAGAGTGACTACCTAAATGTTAATAAAAAAATAAGTATTGTATGTAATTTACGCGACCGCCTTCATAGCTCGATAGTCAAATTTAGCGTTAAGCATGAGGGGTCGGCTATAGCTCACCTATAAATTAAATTTATCTGGGGAAAGGCCACGGTAATGCGTTCGCCCCATACCCCAAAGTCCACTTTCAACGCAAGAACGCTATACATATTAGTCTTGTTACCTGCAGCACATACAAGTATATTTTTATATGGTTTAAAATTATGTTTGTTTTGTTTTCAGTAACACGGTTATGTTTCTTAGGTGTACAGTAAATACGTATTATGTTTTTGCCGGAACTCGAACCCAAAGAGACGCATTACTGAAGCATGAGACGATGTTGAGTTATAAATAAATCGAAAAATTGTTTATTTGTTCGAAACAAGATGAGATGTTTAATTAGTGGTCTGATTTTGCATAATTGCATCTTTATGGACTAGAATCTTGATTCAGAGAAGGTCAGGAAAGTTCGCAGATGCTGAAGTGTTCTAGACTATTTCTGTAGGTATATTTTTATTTTCTACAAGGTCTCAACGTGGTTCGGGAAAACTAAAAAAATCGGATTGTTGTGGGCCTCCCTCAAACATGTATTTCATTTTGTTTTTATATCACCAACAAGAAACGGATCGTGGGTACATCCCTACCAGGTTGAACATATTTCTCACCATCTTAATTGTAATATGTATAACTTTTCTGAAATATGTTTGAATTCGTCTGGTAAATGTAGATATTAAATGAGAATCATGGATTACAGATGCAAAAGAGGGCTTACGTTATTTTTGCTTTGTAAACATTAAATTCTTAACTTCCGGTGAAGATAACTTAAGAAAGAAACCGTCATATCTGAAGCAAAAACTCAACTTTCTTCAGAGCATGAGTCTCAGCTCTGGAAATTATTCTAGGGTTTATCGTAAGCATTACATATATCATATTCACACACACATATATATATAGATGTGTATAGAATATACACTTCCTTTTACATTTCTTGATAAGCGAATTTTATGCTAATAACTATCGTCGATTTTAATAATAATGGCTCTGTATGGACGGGTAAAACCAGAATGTAGTCTTGATATTATTCTTACAAGATTCTTTAAATGATTGTTCATCTTCGATATTGGGATACAATTTTTAAAACATCTTAGAAGATTTTTTATCGTTATATTTTTTAGTACAGAACTAATAGAAGGTTAATTATTACTAGAACTTTTTGGCGTCTCTTCGTAACAAAACTATTCACGAAGATTCAGCAAGTTCAAGTTCAAAATTTGTGTTGACGACCTAACACAAATTTTATTCTTATTTTTTAAATATAGAATTTGTTGAAAATGCAACTATATGACTATTGCTGTCTATCCGTACCACACGAAGTACACGAGGTACAGACAGACAGCAAAATTAAGTAAGTATTGTTTTTTTTACCCTGTCAGTACGGAACCCTAAAATGTACTAGATTGTGTGTCTTTTGATTTTAACTGTATTGATGTCCATAAGTGTACATAGTAAACGTGCACGGGGACGTTTTTAGTAAAAAGCCCCTACCATAAGGAAGTTTCGACTTTTTATAGACATGCAACATTGGAGTGGAACGTTAAAATTAATTCATACAAAATTGTTACAGGAATAAATATCTGGGTGCTTAAGTGTTCTGTGAAGACGGGTTCGAATCCTGATGTAACATAAAATATTTATTGTTTAGTTCGACATTTGACTAAGTTAGTAAATAACGCTTTGTGTCGTTCTACGGACACAAATGTGTTCGTGTTTAAGCTTAACGCTGATTCGCATAAATTAGTAACAACACGTCAACAGAATCAAGTTTCATAATAATAGAATTAATATGTTCTAACTATTATTAAAAATTCGGATGTGTATCTGTCTTTTCCGATAAAACGGAGAAACCAATGAATGAAATATACTAGGTGTGCCCGTGAGTTCAACTTCATTTAAATAGGAATCAGTTATTCATATATCTGTGCCGTTTTCGCAACGCAAGCAACAAAAAACTTTTAACATGAATAATTATACACATTTCCCACTGTTACCTACCTCCGGTCGCAGTGTGATATTTTGAAACCGAAAGCCCTCCTCGATAAATGCTCTAACCAACACAAAAAAAAAACAATTCCAACCAATAGTTCCTGAGATTAGCGCGTTTCTGACCGTGACGTCATCAACAACAAATACGAATATGCATATGATCTGATCAGATGGGTCCGTGACGGTTTTACATGCAAGTAGTAGAAAGGACATCTAAGCTCTGCTTTGGTTTTGGACATTCGGAAATCAGACCGACACCGAAAATATTACATTACGTCTCATTTGATTGATCTCAAGTTTAAGTCAATACTTATATAATTATTAACTATGGTTTTCTCTGATTATTATTTCAATACGTGATTTATTATATTGACCTTCCTATATTTCTGGAAAAGGTTCGTCCACTTGTGCCTAGACGGATAGATTATTTTTTATTCGCGGAAACAACGTGCAAATACTAGTTATATTATTATAAGTCATGGAATATCTTTAACATCTTGCTAAAGAATTTGATGGCTTTCCTCTGTATTCTTATTATAAGATCATAAATATTTAAATCGACTTCATCACACGTTTTAGGCATCTACGAAAAATTATTATATTTCACAGGTCGATAACCTAGCGTTTTAGTCTTTAAACATTGTTAATAAGCGCTAAAGTCATTTATAACTGCTATGTGAATTAATGGTTAGAAATAGATTGAGCGTTCGAATCCCGTGATTGCATTTTGAGTTTATTTATCACTATTTCTGTCAACATTGTGACACTTTATTTAATACAAAAGCAACCGAACCGAGAAAAACCCATGACACTTAAAATCCGTCCTCTCTATGTCTATACATTATTATGTATAATATTTTAGATTATGTCTTCAAGCGGAAGCTTAGGCCTTAATGTTTTAATTTCAAATTAACACAAAACCGTGAAGTTTTTTAACCTTGACATCAATGCTTTTGATCAAATATCAACAAATCAGCTGAGACACCAAGTCTTGCCTGCGTCAGTACTTGCTATCAGGGAGTACATAAGGGATAAATTGGTATATCTGTTTACTTTTTATACTAAAACGTAAAGAGAGAAATCGTATCTTTGCGTTTTGTGCACTTAGTAAATCTGTACGAGTACATATTTACTAAGTGCACAGTGTTCTAACATCTGACTTGGCAATGCATTACTAGACCACGGCTTTTATACAGCAATTGGGTTCCACGTGCAAGTGTTATCTTACATGTTCTCTTTGCACCAGGGAATCGAATGCCCGATAATTGTACTGGAACACAGCGCTTATTAGGTAAGCGATTACTTAATGCACCTCCAAGCGAGAGCTTTCGTTACCGGTTTTATTATTAGTGACCTTGTACTTGGAACATCACTAGATGCTATATAAGTAAGCTTTTCGTGTTGTCGAGTGACACTCGCGGGTCTGTTTCCGAAGATGTATTCGATTTGGGTGCGTATTCCTTTTTTAAAAATACGCTTTTATCTGTGCTCTGTGACACGCCAATTAAGTGATAGATTAAAATTACTCGAGCGTTCCGTTTTCAAAAATTTAAAGTGTTTCTTTTTAAACCGTCTTGCGGGGAAACGTCAAGTGTTATTTATTTGTTATAATTTTATCGCAACTTAAAACTTTGCCCTATTAAACTAAAAAGATGATAATTAAAAATAAATTGATTGAACACTAAAGTTATACATCGTCGGACGACATTTTTCCCAGGGCAGTTTTATTTATGCGATGAATTGGTGTGTAACAGTGTGACGAACTTTAAAGCTTTATTCTGTCCATGTCGAATCACACGCTATAATTGTTGTAGATATAGGTATATTAAGTATTTTAACATATTTATTTCAAGCTTTTTAATTCCTACTTAACCTATTATCATTTTATTACTATTTTAAATTAAGTTTTGTGCTTAGCGAATTTTTTACTAGTTAAAATGTTATCTTAATTGTGTTCTGAGTTTATTACATTTGAAATTATTCATACTTATTCAAACAGTATTCTTTATTACGTTTTGCATAATGTAACGGCTTATGCTTAAAACCGCTGTTTCCCAAACAACTTTTTACGCTAGACTTCCTTAGTATTTACGCATCAAAATTCTATAGTATTTGAAATAAGAATAAAATTATATTCGTATGTTTTATACAAAATTTATGTTGCAATTATGACAAAAATAATGGACAAAATATGTCTGGCAGTTCAATGAGTTTGAAATATTATTTATGACAAATGGAAATCTTTTTTTTAATTAACTAATTAAATATTGAGAAAGGTTAGTTCGTACTTTCGAAATTATCATATAACTTCTTAGCGTCTAATACTCCGTGAAAATTACAATTACACATTATTTCATATTATATTTAAAGTCAATGTAAAACGCTTTAAGCGTCCTAGTTTCAAGCCTTAGACAAAAATAATAAATTCTCTCTATTTGGTAGGGCATAGATAAAATACTGTCTATACTTTACGCGAGTAGTACACATTTAAATGATATATTAGTTAAACTGTAAGTTATTCTAAGTTCGGCCGAACGTTTCGGATGCTTTGCAGCAGCCGTGGTCAAAAAAAATATTATTATCTTATTTGAAAAATCATTTTCAAATAAGTTTAGCTAATATATCGCGTTTTAAACCGTTAAAGTGTTTTATTTAAATGGTTATAGATAGACAATGACACTTGACGATAATTATTACTTTATCTTATATCCCTGTAGGTAGGTACTTCACAGATAAATAACTTTAATACTGATAAAATTTCGAATTATAAGAGATAATTGAATTTTTCTATTTTGCCGTTAAGAGCACGAGGTCTTGTGTTTGAATCCCGGGGATATTTTTTTCGGGTCGAGTAGGGCACAGAAGTCTGAACGCTATATAATCAATTTATAGTTTTAAGATCGATAAAGAAACGATCAGTGAAACGGACGCTTAAATATGTCCGGCCATGTCTCGCAGGGGAAAACGGGGTTTCCCTTATAGCAATAAGAAATAAAATCCTACACCACAATTCTCTATTTGAAGGTCCCATAAAGACACATGGGTATTTCCAATATACGCTTAAAAATGCTAAGTTTGCCATACATAAATAATTACCTCATTGAAATTAGCAATGTTCAAACAAAAAAACCGGCAAATCTATTAGCGCTTTGTGCTGTAAATCCGCTTGTGGCCATATTGAAAAATAAAAATTAATTGAGAATTGTTTGAAAAGGTCATCTTTATTTTAAGATCAAACCTTTTTTGGTATCTTGAAATCATAGACGTTTAAACAAATGCAGTTTGCCACACCCTACAATGGTTCAGAGAGATCAGTTTTTTGGAAAGATTATATAGCTCCGATAGATAATATTTATTATACATTTTATATTTAGCAAAATCAAAATAGATATAACGATTTTTTTTTAGTTTACTTCAAATAAATCGGTTTTCGTGAGTAGTACACACATTTAAATAAACTTTAACGGTATAAAACGAGATATATATTCGTTAGGTTGTTTACATTTTTTTTTAACTACCACGCGCGACGCTGCGGAAACTTCGCCGTAGCCGTATTGACGGGGACTCAGGTGGCCTCTTATATTTTGTGCTTAAAACCGTTAAAAGCGGTTTATTTACACCGTTGCTTTTTCTTATAAATTATAATTCTATCATAAATCCTGCGCTTATAATAGAATAATAATGTTGATAACCTACTTGACAGTGTATCGCGTACATTTTTACAATTTGTTTAAAGTTTGATGTTATTTTGCTTAAATAAATTAAAAATTTAGTCAGTGGTATGGCGTGCTGTTAGTCATGAGTTCGATTTGCGTCTGTCATAATAGTTTTCTCTAATTAGATACCCTCCTATATTGGCCATTTCCCATTTCCTCCTATATTGCCCATTTCCTTCTTGAGTTTAAGTATGTGTTAATTCTTATATAAAATACGTCATTTAAAAAAAGTGATAATGTGCCACCCGTGTATTATTGTCGAGGAAAATATTATGTTTATTAAATACGAAGGCTTATAAAATGCCAAGCTCTTAACATTGTATTAATTTATGTCATAAGCCTTGTAACGGATTCATCAAATCAAATAAGTTTACGAGTCGTAAATTAAATGAAAAAAATCGTTTTTATCGTCTGGATGTCCTTTTTTAATTATGGTATTTGCATATTTAAAAAAAGATTGCGGCCTGCGGGTTAGCTTCAATTTATTTTCGAAATACAAATAGCCATATGTAATATGTAATTCTTAGTTTTATCAAACTCGCAAATTTGAACATGGCGGCGTGTTGTTTTTTTTTGTTTAATAAAGTGTAACGTTAACCGATATACGTACCTAACTTTCACAAATATTAGTATGCTATAATTTGACAATTGATTGTAGACATATTGGATCTTACAATATTAAAACTAGATGAGTCTCGCGGCGTTACGCGTGAAATTATAATAGAATGAAACTCAAAACTTCAAGTTATTTTTTTACATTATTAGTAATCCCTTTTCCATCTCTCCGGAATATATTTGTCTAGAAAAGTCTTTGAGCTCATTTTAGGGTGCCGAGTTCAGTTCCAAGTTAAAATCAATTTGTGTTTGACTACTTGTTTGCTATTTTTGTGTTTGTGATAGTATTTCATTAAACTATATAGGTATATTGTTGTTTTAACTATTATACATTATTTTTAAAATGGTTTTTAAATTTATCTTATATCATATACTGTTCAGTTCCTTACAATAAATAGTATTCTCATGGGGTGTCTGTAATATTTTGTTAATAAATAAAAAGGTTACTTTCATTAATTTTTATCGAAATCGGTCAAGCCGTTACGGTAAGAGTGATAGACATACTTATTGAATTTCGCAGTATTCATTTCATTCATTCTACTTAAGTACTTTACGTCAAACAATATTAAACTTACAGCCGAGAAAACGAAATCGGTTAGGAATAATGTTTTTATCTCTGTTCAAACAATCGTACTAACATATAATTATGATTGAATAACGATTACATAATTTCAAATATCGTACAAGTTCAATGTCCGCATATTTCTTAATCGTAAAATGTTCAACGCATTCTTTTCTATGCATCGACTGGTTTAGACTCGACTTTTAAGAAAGAAGGGTAATGTTTTACCGATACATTTTATTTACGTGAAAGTAGTTAGAACTATTTAACTCGTTCCCTGGGACTAAAAGCGGGTTACAAGACTTAAAATAACATAAGAAAGACTTTGATCCGAATGGGGCCAGTAGATCTTAAGACAAGCGCTTTCAGTGTTTTCTATATTGGTATAGTAAAGAGAACTAGTCAACAGAATTATAATACTTCCACGCACTCGTTACTTTTATTACATTTATGGGCGTTTATTTTTACTTGGACGGTTATAATTCTACCCTCAGATTAAGAATTACAGCATTCAAGGCGATCAGCCTTAAGATATCGATAAACCGTTAATTTACCTTAAGCATCGTTTGTCTGTCAATTAAGCAAGTGAACACATTTAAATAAAACACCTTTAACGGTTTAAAACGCTACAATATATATTATATGTATATACCTTATTTTAATATTGAGACGACGTTAAGCATTTAAGTATAGTAAGTTTCACACCCCGGGACTACGACGTGAGTTTTAAACTAAGACTAAGACTACGACGTGAGATAGGTACATGTCTATCGATGTTACATCGTTCCCCTCTGCATTCCAGGTGCTGTCTGCAGTGCTCGTGTTAGCGGCTGGTGAGGCCAACGTCGGCTACGAATACAAGGTCCCTACCACCGTTTACGGGCTTCCTACCCAATACAACAGCGGCAAATACAACCCAGGACTTTACAATGGCTATCAAAATGGTGCTTACGTCCATAGCACATCAGGAAAATATACAGGAAATTCTGGTCAATCCTCAACACTAGGCTCTTCGAATTCTGGATACAGCTTTGGAAACGGTCTCTCTTCGGGTGTAGGTTCAGGCCTCGCTGGTTCTGGTTATCAGACCGGTCAGTATACTTCCACTGGTAACAAATATCAATCGGGACAGTATAACCACGGTCATCAGACAGGCCAGTACGTCGCCGGATCTGGACAACAATCAGGACAATACGTCTCTGGAAATGGACAATACAGTTCAGGATCTGGACAGTCAGGACAGTACGTCGCTGGATCTGGACAATCAGGGCAATACGTCACTGGAAATGGACAATATAGTTCAGGATCTGGACAGTCAGGGCAGTACGTCACTGGATCTGGACAATCAAGCCAATACGTAGCTGGAACTGGCTATAATGGACAGTATGTTTCTGGAAGTGGACACCAATCAGGACAATCAAACGTCGGCCAAACCGGGCAATACGTCACTGGAAATGGACAACAATCTGGTTCTAGTTCCACCTTTAACAACAAATACGTCACTGGTGTCGGCTCAAACAATGGTTACTATCAAACCGGTTCAGGTTACACTGATACATCAGGAAGCGGATCAGGATACTACGTACAAGGCTCTGGTTCAAACTACAACGTGGGTTCATCAAACTCCGGATCAGCGACAAGTACTGGATCAAACAATTACTATGGCTCGACATCTTCAGGAAACGCTTTCGGCTCCGGTGGATCCGGAAATCTGCTTACTGAGTATCAAACAACTTTCGAAAGTACATCTGACACAAGTGGTTTGGACAGAGTGGGTAGCCACTACCAATCTACAAACGGTGCGCATCACTATACAACAGGGTCTAAGGAATATTACTTCCAAAAGTCGCAGCAACCCACACAAGTTTACAAACATTTCTACGTGATCTCTGCTCCAGAAGAACCAGAAACAGTTAAACAACGTCAACCAATTGTTCTGCCCCCGCCAGAGAAACACTACAAGATTATTTTCATCAAAGCACCGACCCAACCAGCGCCAGCACCACAAATAGTCACTGTGCCACAACAAACAGAGGACAAGACAATTGTGTACGTACTCGTCAAGAAGCCAGAAGATGTTAAAAATATCGAACTGCCTAAATTTGAATCAAAGGCACAAGCTAAACCTGAAGTATTCTTTATCAAATACAATGATAAAGCGGATTCTAAGGTGCTCATAGATAATATTGTTAGCGACTACAACCGAGGGGGTATTAAAGCGTCTTTTCTAAACGTCGGCGGTGGTAAAGGAGATACAGTGTTGGACTCCTCTAGTACAAACTCCGGGTCACTAGACGGCATTTTAAGAGCATTTGATCTTCCAGAAAACAGCAACAGATATGGTAATGATGCTACTGTTTTGACTAACCAGGGTTCTTCAATTAAAGATACTGATAATGTAGTAACACTTCAATCAAGCTCTAATTCTGGGGTAGGATCAATTTTAGACGGCACTCATTCTAACGAAGACACAACTGGTAAACCAGTAACCGTAAGTTTTGTGTCTGGTACCGAGGAAGCCGTTTCCAGTGCTTCAGGTTCTGACGAAGGCAACTCTGCCTCAAGCAATAAAGACATTTCTGAAAACACTAGTAATATTCTTTTATCTACGTCCAATAACGATGTGGAATCTAGTTCAGTATCATCTGTAGTATCCGATGAAAGCAGTGATTCAAGCGTGGATAGCGAATCTGACAGCGAAAATTCTGGATCAGGCAGTTTGGATTTGTCTTTGATATTTGGAACTAACTCAGGAAGCGCTGTAGAATCGAGTGCGAGTGTAGATTCCAGCTCTAGCGCTGATACTAGTTCTAACTCAGGTTCCTCTCAAGATGCTAGTGTTGTCACCCTGGATTCTAACGTAGATAGTGCATTCGGTAATAATCCGGATAACTCTGTCGTTAAAGAATCAAGCACGGGTGTGAGCTCCGGTAGTTCTGCGTCAACAACTGGCTTTGGCTTTAACTCAGATTATTCTTTCATTAAAGGTGGAAGTTCCAGCGGCTCTACAGGAAGCTTATCAAGCCTGAATTCTGGTGGAAGTTCCGGCAGCTCCTTTGGAACAGGCTTCAATACCGGTGCGTACAAAACCGGATCATACTATGCCTCCAAGCCCAGCGTCTCATTCGGTACGGATTACAATGGAGGTTTGAATACCGGTGCAGGATTTGGAGATAGTAAATTCCCATCTACACTCTCCACTTTTGGATCGAACCAAGGAGCTAGCAGTGCTTCGAATTCTGGGTCAAGCAGTTTTGGTACTACAGGATCTGTCTATGTACCGACCACAGATGCATTCGGCTCCACAGGAAGCAGCTTGAACTCCGGCAATCTCGTCTCCAAATTCGACTCCGGTTCAAGCTATGATGGATCCATAGTGTCCACTAGCCAAGGCGTTCCCCATGAGACCTACGGGCCACCTAAGTTTAGAGTGCTTTAGATTATTACAACGACTGTTTTTAATAATGAAATAAAATAAAATTTTGTGCTATAACTTGTGTTATTTTCGAAAAAAAATTTAGATCAATATTTCTATAATGTTTATAATCTTACATTGATATACTCACTCGACTTGAAATATTATTGTTTAAACATATAGCTGTGATTGCCTGTAGTTTGATTGTTTTGTATTATGCTAATCTTTACCGAGTTGTAGAAATTATTTTAGAATCAACTCTGTACTTTAAGCTTCTCAATGCAACATACGCCTCGTTGTAAATACACATATTGTGATTTTATGGTGTAACATTAGCAAAACAAGTATAAAATACCGAAAAAGATATAGTAGGTTAGGATTTTAATTACTTAATAAAAAAGTAATTACATGTGCTTTGACTCGACTAGCCAAAAGATAATGAATTTAATAATCAAAAAGTTTAATGTAGGTGATACGTCATCTAGATTTAAAGGAATCTATTGCAAAAGACCGAAGACCCAAGTGTCCTTGTAGGGTATGAAAAAGGCCCAATTTGGGTTCGTTACGCTGAATAATGTTACCTGTAAACAAGTAGAACAATAATGAACTCCAGTTCGGGAAAAACTTAAGTACCTACTGTCTGTAGTTTACGCGAGTAGTACAGATTTAAACAAAACACTTTTAACGGTTTAAAACGCGATATATATTAGTTAAACTTTTTTTTAAAATTATTTTAGCCATAATCACCGTACCGGGCCGTAGTTAAAATAATTTTTAAATAAGTTTGACTAATAGGTACATATCGCGTTTTAAACCGTTAAAGTGTTTAATTTAAACTTACTAACCTGGACTCAATTCTGCCAAAAAACCTAGACCCCTGCCTAAAAAGGTTTTTTCATATTATTGATTAGCGACATTATTTTTTACAACATTCGTTGCTCACCGTATCGGTTACATCATACATTCACAATAAAGATGTTTTTCAAGAACATCAAATCATTAATTAATAATCCTGACCGGTATTTGGGTTTCTTTAGCCTTGGCTCTTAGTTATATCATTATGACGGATTAAAAATAATGTTATTATGCGAAAATTATTTTGTCTTGTCGTCGAGTCGAAGTATAGGATTTTTATATTCATTTGATTTTTCGCATTGTGCACAACAATTACATTTGGAGACGTACAATGTTTTTACATCGAAGGGAATAAAAGACGCAATAGGAAAACAAAAGGATGGTCTGTCTGTATTTTTGGTTGGACATTAGCAGATCAAAAGACCGAGAAACTGAAACGCAAATGTATAACTAACTATTTCACTACACACACGTTACAGTCCACACCAATTATTGTCAAAATTGGTTTAGCAACGTGATTCAAACCCAGACCCATCGTTTACCCTTTTCTACAACCCCATTAAATCGTATCCAATATTTGTTAAATATTTCAAACCTTGAATTTGCATTGATGAAACATTCATGTCCGTTTCGTATATATCTACTGAGTCTGTGCCTAGCCCGACCGAAATGTCGCCATGTTTCTCCTCTGTACTCAGGCATGACATTGGTCGAACATCGTACTAAACGTCGGATATAGTGACGCAAATGCGACGTCATACATTTTAATTTAACTGTTTGGTTGATTGCAGTCGGTATTGGTAGATTACCGGCATTTGTACGTCCGCATACTTGATACATGTTATCTTGATTTATTGAATATTGCGAACCGTAATATCGAATTCCCGAGTAATTTAGCTGGTAATGCGATTGTGATAGGGCTGGCTGGCTTAAATGAAAAATCTTTTGTATTTTTTTTCTTTAATATAAAATAAATAGCTAATACGTAATGTGCCACAAACAAAAGACACAGATAATTACAGGTGCTGGCAATCCATAATGTAGTGTGGGATCCTAAATTTGCTACCTCGCGATTCAGAGACAAGCTACCAAACTATCACACGACGCCGTGTCGTGATGGGTCATTTGACAATGCGAAAAATATAGCGTCAAATACTGTTAACAGTATTAAGTATAAGTTTAGAAGTATTAAAACAGTCACAACGTTGCTATAAACCACCGCGCTTCCTAGTGTTAAAACTGATTTATTCTTTGCTTAAATAAATAAATTTGTTAGTCATTTTATTACTTCAATCTCTGTTAAAATGTAAATGTTTGGTACATATACATTTAGATTGTAGATCATACGATCGACACTAGATGGCCAATAGATGGTCGTGACGTTACATGAAAATATTAGTTGGACACTGTAGCTCAATTGGTTGGAGCAAATGTTTCAATTACTGCCCGTGTTGTAATTTTTTTGTTTTAAATCGATTTATATTTTTATATATTGCCATCATATGACATCGGAAAAATATTCAAGTTTTCAAGAGTCTTATATAAATGGTATCTTATAGTAACTATACATATATGTTTTCGCGACAAGCAGTGTGGAAGTTCTTAAACTACCTCCCGAGGAAGACCTGATCAGGAGGGAATTGTGTCCCTCAGTGGTATTAATAAGTAGGTATTTTTTATGATAGGGGAGGGCAGACAAGCATAGCATCTAAACAAGATCAGCTGTCGACAACGAAAAACGAAATTTCAAACATCGAACCCACGACCCGTTGATTATTACCAAAACATACTGCTCTTAGACCAAGGAGGGCGTCAAAAATGTACATCACGTCGACAACCCTAGGACTGATAGTAAGTTTGAGAGGCATTGTTTATGAATGGAATGCCTCTATTTTGAGGCAGCCGCGCGTGATGTGGTGATGCACTTAAAGATCGCATGGAATGTTCGCGCGGCGCCAATCTCTACGGTCAATTAATGTTGGCACAATCTCAATTCATTTCACCAAATTACATCTGAATGAAACCACTTAAACAGATTAAAACGCGAAGTAAGTTAATATGTTTTTTTACGCTATGACGTTTCAGGTGCCGTTAGCGGTAAGTTTGCATATAGCCTTTTATTACAATGTTCATGTTTTTGTAAAAACGACGTTTGGTTTGCAAATAAATTTAAGACGGCGACCCTTGACTTGGATGCTAATTTAGTATGTGTACCTTTCATTCATGAATTTGCGCTTGATATTACAAAACATTCGATATAATTCGATTCGGCCCGTTGGACGCTCTTTTATTTCTGTTTATGTTTTATATACGTATCGCCGTCGCCAATCTAGTTGTAAACTATATTGTAACTTTATAGTTTCAAATAAACTGGTAATGTTATTAATATTTTTTACATTTTATTTGTTCTGTTCAACACTCAGCTTCCACGATACCGTCGTCAAACTAAAATGTGAGAATACAACATCTTGCTATGGCATCACACTTAATCCCAACCTAGTTCTGACAACCACACCCTGCGCCAAATCTTGCATGGCCATTTTACACGAACAAGCACGATATGATATAGAGAAGGGAATATACTATCCTCATCTCAAGAAAATTAGGCGAACCAAGCACCAATATCTGCCTGATAAACTAGCGCTGGTCAGAATAAAAGAACCAGTGTTAACGAGTTATGCGCAATTGTTATCTATAGACATTGAAAATATAGTGCAGTTAAATGGATTTATACCGCTAGTCGAAAGAGCGCCCGCGTACAGGAATATGTTGATAAAATTCTGTATCTTTGAATTCAAACGTACGGGTAGGTGTTATATATGCACTAATGGACACCGAGCAGAAAACTGCGCACTTCAAGGGATACCTCTAATTGTAAAGGGAAGGGTCGTAGCGATATCCGAAAAGCAAAAGCTATGCAACATACAAAGAGCCTTTATATCCGTATCACCTTATATATCTTGGATAAACTCTATGTTGAAACATAGTAAACATTACTTGAGGCATAGCAGAATAACAAAACATTCTACTAAAACTACATTAGGAAATAACACAAATAAAAAAGAGAAGATAAATAAGACTAGCAAAAGAAGAGAAGAAAACAAAACACACCCAAAATCCAGAACCACAACGAAGAGACGTAATATAAAAGAAAAACGTAAATCAATAACTCCATTCAAATCGGCTGATTGCAATTCTTGCTCGAGAAACTTAGAACCATTGCAAGTAATCAAAAGTAGCACAAAACTCGTAAAGAGTTTAGCGACGAGAAATCTTAAGTTATTAAAATTAACCAAGGGAAAATTAGCGACGAAAATGCAGTCACTCAATCGATCACACAAAACCTTGTCAAAACGAAATACGAGTAAAAGATTATTAACCAAGAATTCATCTAATATCGTTCAAAAGAACTCAACCCCTAACAAGGACAAATCTCCATCTTCTTATAAACCAGTGCCATCTATACATCGTTCTATTTCTTCGACCCTGCGCATACGTAAAACTACATCAACCTCTTCAAAATCATTTCGTAATACTAAATCACTATTTGTTCTAACAAAATCTCAAAAACATACGCCCCGCATTCCGTTATCAACAGGTAGCAATTTGCAAACTTCGAATTCCAATACGACGAACGCTAAAAAGAATATTACTATGAATTTGACCCAATTTAGAGAAATCACAGACGCATTAGATTGGTTTAAAAAGAGGTTCTATGATAAATTGAAAACAGGACCACCCCCTGTTTTTATATTGACTACAAGTAAAATTAAAAAGGAATTCGTAGATTTAACTTAGTAGTGTTAAATTATTGTTCTTAACATTGTATACGTGTGTCAATTATTATGAAACCAGCGAAATTGTAGCTTTAGTTTCCGAAATTCTAAATTAAATAATAACAAAAATTAACGTGTTAGTACGTAAAGAATTATAATTCTTCGAGCAATCGAGGAGTCAACATCTCCTGAAGATGCCGTCCACACGTGATGGCGAAACGTCGAGAATCTCTTCTCCCTCACATCGGCCGAACAGCCCGAAAGACAATGATATGCTGAACGATGGCCGTGAAAGCCTTACACAATTAATTTAAAGGGTAACTTTGATCGTGCAAGTTGGGTTCTTAATAAATTCTAGGTTTCGCGACGTTGAAATGTTAGTGCGTTGTCGAAAAGCTTTCACAGTGTGTACGAGATAGTAGCTCATATATGGCATATTAAGAAAGTCGAAAATATTTAATTACAATAAAAAATATTAAGAAAATTTATGCACTTTGCATTTTAACACAGAACAAAAGGTCATTTCCCAAATTTGAATTTAGCCGGGCTTTGTGTGGCGATGTTGCCAGATTATGATAAAACCATAGCATTTAATAAATAATGTTACTCTTGTTGTGCTAGTAACTAAAGTCTATGCTCTTATGAAAAACAAGGGTTTCACAATAATCTATGTTGTCAACGTAGCGTCTGTGGTTCGACTAAAAATTTAATTGTCAATGATCCGTCAGATTAGCTGTCACATAGTACATAGTTGCTTCGTAGAAATTTCATAATTATTTTCAAATACCTACCGATTAAGCATTCCTAAAACATTTATAGATTTACAATAATTCCGTTGAAGACTTGCGTGCAGTTATCTACAATATACAAATAACTACAATTAATTAGCTTTATATTAACGGTAATATAAAGCTTAATCACTCGTTTTGTTCGTATATTGAAAGTTTTTACAAATTAATATACCATTAAATTGTAACAAAAAACTTGCCTTTAATCGTTTTGCATGTGGTAAGTAACATTAATTTAAAAATACATGTAAATTATTAAATACCTCCGTCCTCTAAAGAGATTTAACGTTCCTCATTTGTGAGATTAATTATTTTCAACTATTGTTCATAATAAGTGAATCATTTATGTAGATAAATTTAATCTGTCAATTGTATTTTGTAGAAGTTATCTTAAGATTAGCATTCGAAATGTATCTTTGTTTTTTTTAGCATTTTGATATTATTTAAATGATGGTAATCAACTTTTAGTGTATGTCCTTCTATGGTGTGTTATATTTAAATCAAATTTTGATACTTTTAAACTGATAAAAACATTTGTTTTTTAAGTAGTGATTGTTCCTACCCTACCCTGATGTCGGTGATTTATATATTACTGCCATAAAACTAAAAAAAAAAGTTTTACTGAACATGTTATATTGACAGGCACATTGAATCATAAATCTATATTAATAAAATTTTACACAAAGATCCCTAAGTTGGTGCCCATGGGGAGATAGTATGGAGTGCTTAGTAAATTCTAGTGTAGCAGTTAGTTACAAATGCAAAGCCAACAACTACTTATATAATTATATAATTTAAAGATTAACAATGGCTCAGTCTTCAAATGGCACAAACAACTTCAAAGTAGTTCTCCTGGGAGAGGGCTGCGTTGGGAAGACGTCAATCCTTTTACGTTATATTGAAGACAAATTTAATGAGAAGCATCTATCTACTTTGCAGGTAAGTTGATTACAACTTTATTCTGCTTTTTCTTGTTGGAAACATCAATTAGGGGCCGGCACTCCACTATTTCAAGTAATTCCCCGTTAACCTCTTTTTGGCATACTAGGTTATTCAGCTATTATTGGGAACAATATGGGTCTATGCCACCATAATCCTTTACTTTGTTTTTCATGTCATCTTTCTAATATCAGTTCACATATATGTATTATTATTGGTTGAATGTTATGAGTCCATCACCAACCAATTTAGCTACATAAGCCCTCATTAGTGGAGTATTTTGGATTATCTGACTCGAAAATTAAGGCAACTATAAATTTTGAAAACAACAGCATACATCAGCGAGTAGATGTTCTAGATTCTTGTTTCCTTCATCTCAGTATGCTCAAGGCATTTAGGGTTTTTGCCTACATCTATCTGTGATGAGTCTGATCGTGAATTAGAATTTTTAATATGTGTAGCAGAATGATTTTAGTTTTAATGTTAAAAATATTTGCGACATTAACTTTCACCTAAAGACGAGAGAAAAAATGGATAAGTTTAACAGATATAATATTTTACAGATGAGTTGGCATTGTGTAAACAAACTTATCCATTGCTCTGTTGCTATGTCAGCATTTGAACTGACACAGGTGCGCTCAATAGAAAATTTCCTTAGTGCTACATATTAGGCACTTTATTTTCATATTATTCAGTTTATATGTGGGTAGTATCATTTGTAATTGTGATTAAATAAACAGTTTGTTTTTGACTTTTACTTAGGTTATCATAGTTAACTATTCATGCCCTTGTAACCACATAATAGTTATATTAACAGAGCCATATTCTTAATGCAACTACACCTCCGGTGCTCAACGGTTAAATTAGTAGTGTAGCATTGTGTTAAATACATAATCTTGGGTCCTAATCTCACGACGATAATAAATTATTTCACTTGTGTCTGATCAACTACTGTAAATGAAAACGCTAAGTGTAATGAACACTAATGTGTGTTTGTCTTAAGTCCCAGGGGGACCAAAATTCGTACTTATTAATAGCTATTCGTTTCATGTCTGGTAGTACTTAACAAGTATCAAGTACTGACATCATACAGATAATTGAATTATGGAAACATAATGCTTTCTTGGTAACGTGGGCGGAGGTAGGAGGCTTAGTAGCTATCGATTTTACCTAATGTATGGAATTTAAATATTAAGTTGCAGAATCCACGTTATTTTTTTATATCAGAGGGGTGAGAGTGGGTTGATGGAAAGTAAAATACCCCCAGCATATTATAACAAGACGCGTCAACCAATTTTAGTTTTGCGTTTATTCTTACCAGTTTTTCCGTATGTATATATATGTCGATTTCTACATTCCTACCAATTATTATATATGCCGATTCTAAACATGGTTTGAAAAAATGTTTGTTTTCATAGGTTCGGTAAGAAACAAACGTGACTTGCCATATAAATTATTCCTAGGGAATGTCTAGTGTGTAAGGATCTCTAAAGACAGGCTTCGGGCAATCTACACGGTGGGCTACACCATGGGGTTATCTATACCAGATGTGCCCGTTGTGGATAACTTACTAAGTGATAAATTAGCAGTTATCGAGCGAAATAAAAACTGATTAAATTACTAAAATTATTATCAAAAAAATCTATAAAATTTCACCAAAATTGGTCGAGGCTTTCGGAAGGAATATAGTAACGACCATAACAGAATAATTTTATATATTAGATTTTAGACCAGGGGAACAGAAACAAGAAATTATATAATTATCTTTTTTATTAGTTTTTCTGTTTATTATGTAAATAAGATATTTTATTAGTGTGGATTTTATGTTATTGTGTCTTATTTGCTGACATAGAGCCGGTTTATTAACTCATGTACTGGTTTCAGGCAACATTCCTCAATAAAAAGTTGAACATTAACGGGAAACGAATTAACCTGTCTATTTGGGATACCGCTGGCCAGGAGAGGTTCCACGCCCTTGGTCCTATCTACTACAGGAACTCCAATGGCGCTATACTCGTTTACGATATCACCGATCAATACTCCTTTGTAAAGGTATTTCTGTGGATTTCCAAATATACAAGCCAAAAAATTTGGACTTGAGCGCTTCTTGTTTAGATGTTATGGCAAGAACCCTGTTTATATCATACTCCTGCTTCCAGGTTAAGAATTGGGTGAAAGAGTTGAAGAAAATGCTAGGCTCTGACATAGTGCTGGCTATCGCAGGGAACAAGATAGACCTGGACCACGAGAGGGCTGTTTCACTTGAGGAGGCTACACAGTAAGCTAAATTTTTATGGGTCTATAGTTTTAATGCTGCATGTTTAGATCAGATAGTCAGAAACCCTCGGTCTCTTATCAAATTCTATTCTAAAGCAAGCAAGATGGGTTGCCTAAAAATACGCTTTGTTTATAAAAATTGTTGGTAGGTCAAAATGTTCGGTTTTTGGATTTTTCTAAAAGTGTCTAGTAGGCGTCCTAAGTGCTGATGCGTGTTGTCTAGCATTGCTTAGTTATTTTGTGAAGAGCCCCGATATCGTACCTACTTGCCTGTATGTGATCAATCAGTGAAACGGACACAGAAATATGCCAACACGGGGAAACGGCAGTAGCACACAAATATTATGACACATAGAAACATAGCATTTGATAACGTTGAGTTGGTTGGGCTATTGCTAATATCCTAACTATAGTTTAATGATTTCAGATACGCGGAGCAAGTAGGAGCAAAGCACTACCACACATCGGCGAAAATTAACGAGGGTGTGGAGGAATTATTCCTCAATCTGACCAGGGATATGCTGGAGCGGTACGAGAGTAAGAAGCAGACCGAAGTGACCAGGTCGTCCAGGGTATTGGTGGTTGATGATGAGGCGCCACCGCCCTCGTCATGCTGTTCCAGCTTTATGGGTGCCTAATTTTCAAGGATTCTGTTTGCTATGAATAGGGTGTGAAGTTGTTCAGCAGGGGAAGTCAGGGATTTCCAGTGACACGATAAATTGTTAAAAATGCTTCCTCGGTGATATCAACAACACAGGAAAAAAGTGACTACAAACAGTAAACAACTAACAAAAAATATTTTATTCTTCTATTTTCTAATACTATTACAACTTCCAAATTTATTTAATATATTTCATAATATTGCGTGTACATAAAATAATAATAATACTAATAATCTGTAAAAATAATAATAACGTGGGAGGTAAATTATTGTTTGTGCTGTTAGTTTACTGTTTGAAGTTGGTTATTTTTTGTGTAAAACCGTTTACTTTTCTTATAAACCATCGTCTTTGTAAGCAGCCCTATTCTAGTTCAACACGTATCTTCATTATTGTGATTTTTCTAATCAACTAATCTAGCTAAGCCTAAGGATCTCATTGAGAAGTGAAGGTTAACTTCTGTCATCACCCCATCATTTCTTGATGATATCAGGCACGTTGTAATATTATTATAGCCCAAATGGGTTGTATTTTCGAAGGCATTTCGTTTAGTAATGGTGGAAAGACAAAAGATAATTTAGCTATAATAACATTACAAGCTCATATTAAAGAACAAGAGATTTTATATATTTAATTAGTAAATGTGAGAAAATTAAGATTTTTCGATATAGTCATTTGTTATGTATAAACTGTCATAAATCTAGATGTAATATATATTATGTGGTTAAAGTTTGCTCATTTTTGAAGTGCCTATATACAGCAGTCTTCAGACTTGGTCTGTTATTCTTTCTATATTTCTGATCTTATTCCATTCCTATCTTCCTTCATTGTGCAAAGCTTCGATAGACTGTCTTCGTCTGAAAGACTGTAGAAGGCACAGTCAATTCGAACACAGTGTTACACAAAATATGCGTATCTACGCATGAACGGAGCAATGGATTTTTTTTTTTTTTTTTTGGGGATATTCCACATTAATTGCTGATATCTGTCACTGTGTAAACCCCCTCCAAATCTTTCTTGAAACTGATTTCAACAAACTGGACAAGATTCTCAATTTAAAATACATGCATATGCCCTATTTCTTTTGTGTTTAAATTATAAAGTTAGAAAACAATATCATTTACGATTTGCTGTCATATATGCTTCCTAGGGTAATGTATGTTTAGGTTTGTACTAGAATAAGATGTCTATATAATGTTCGTTTCTAGTTTAAAATGTTATTTAATTGTTATATTATTGTTTAAATCGCTTTGAAAAATTAATATTATGTCATTCTGGCTCTGAAACTATATTTCGCTTAGTTGGGGCAATTGCTCCATAAGCTATTGATATAGCTTAATGCGAGTGGTATATTGGATGTATTAAAAACACACTTTTAACGATAAGATCGTTAAAAATGCGAAATATTTTTTTGCATATGATACAAAGGAAAGGTATAGCATTCATTTTTCAAATTCGATTTAAAATAATTTACTATTGTGATTATACCGTATTATAAAATTGTTAACTTCGTTATTAATCTATTTTTGGATTCCTTAAACATATTTCATGTCTTAGATCAATTGCTACCCTTACTATACTATGTTTAAAATAGAATGTTACCGTTGACAACTGACAATGGAGATGGAATAAAATCTCAATATATGGACTCCAACAATCAGATTCACTTATAACCTCTCTTTTCGATTCGGGATTGTTAAACATATCATCCTATTTTAGATGGACTATGGTAAGTGTTTTAATTATAGAAAGGGCATATGAAGTTAACGCATAAAATATTCTTAAGGAAACCAAACAGTACATTGAAGAATTGTTATAGCATATTGTTCGAACAATCATTAAACGGTTTAAAACGCGACATATATTTTATAATCATGATCTTACGGTTCGGGGTGGGAGGCCGCTGTAACGAAGGCGCTTTAAACCGTTAAGTGAATTATTTGAAGAGTAGGAATACTTCAGTTTACTAAAGAGATAAATATAACTATATTGCGACAACGTCCAATATCTTACGTCTGATTCATTAGGGAATTTACCGTTGATTATCTCTTGTATGGGTGAATAAATCCAAAGCAATTATCTTAGTGGTCAGTACCAGTCTTTAAAATACGATATTAACTCTAAAAGACACGAACCATCGTAATAATAATGCTATCGTGCTACGCCTTTAGAGGCGTACCTTAGTGGTGATTTCTTATTTCATTTCTATATAACATGTTCAAAATACTGTCAAAGCAGCTTCATGTATATTTGATTGCATGTTATAACATATTTCAACCCGATGTAAAAGAAACAATTGAAGACGTCAATAAGCTAGAGATGACGATTCTTGATGTAAATTAAAAACTATTTTCTTAACCTTTTCCGAAAGAATATCACATTTATTAAGATCTTATTTTGTCGATTATCACTGTCATTGTAAATATTAAAAAATATATATATTTACTGCGTTCTTTTGTTTCCCCATTTACTTAAATATTTTTGGGTGTGTTAACGAGATAATCCTGTTTTGATGGTAGGGTGAAAACCCCCCAGCCACATGCCATGTAACATCTAAACAAGATGCTGTCAACCAAATCTAGAGTTTGGAAATTCGGATCTGGACTGAAACCGAACCGTGATCATAATTATATATACTTTACGGCTTTTTCTAAATATTCCTACCACCCATTTAATATCTTAATGTTCCTGATGGAGTGTAGGATCTTCCAAAATAGATTTATCGAAACGTGCTGGAAATCGAATCCACGACCCGCTCCACCACGATCCATGACGGGAATATCGTTTCGCTTAGTGCGACTCACTTTCAAACTTTACACCTCTAAAACCAATTGAAATAAAACAATGTTATAAAGGATAACGTTTACTAAGCCACTAATAACCTCAAAATAAACTTACGCACAATTACCAAAATTAACAATCATCAACGTTCCTAATAACCTATTAATTATTTTAGTGTATTAAGGAAAACATTAATTTACAGTTATTTTAGTTATATTTTGGGTAAATAAAATGAATGTTTTGAATAGAGACTGCCAAATTTTCATATTTAACTTATATTTTGTGCTTTAATTATTATCTATGACCAGTTTCCAGTTGAAGGATGTACAAATTTGTCATTAAAAATAGGCAATAGTAACAAATAGTAGTTAACAAACTTTGTACTTATTTAAGGCATAATATTGATAATTATTTCTACACCCTGCAAAAGCAAACTAATACTTGCACATGTACAAAAGTGTTGGCAGTGTTACCCTATAATAAATGCATTTTGCAGTATTGTACCCGTATGGTACAATATGCTATTAAGATTGCTATATGTTGTATGCTGTCTGTCAATTTAAGCTGGACAAGGAATAAATATATCCAGTTAACATTTGCAAGTCACAAAAATGGGACACACAACTTTGTGACCGTTACAATGACAGAACAGAAATATTGCCTATGAAAGCACAATTATACTCATACACCACTAATTTAAAAATAAAACCAAGTCCCTGCTTCTATATCACGCCTACTGCCATATTTTTTTAATACAATTAACCATAATATTCATAGACAATAAAACATGTTTGCCCACCGACAACAGATTACAATATATATTGCGAACATTAACACTGTTAAATCACTTCCTACGCATAGACAATTCCCGCAGCGTAATAAAGTCTTTATCTGTGACTGTTATATATTTTGTTGAACTGGTAATAGTGAAATCGTAAGTTCTATCACAGTTTATGGTAGAATGTTTAATCTGTGGTCACTTGTCGACCTCTGTTTGCTTTGTACCAACGGTTGGGGTCTTTTTCACTTTGGTTTCCTTGACTTTGCGTACGGCCGCCTCATTGTCAAGAGGTGGTAAGTCTAAGAGGTACGGCATCATACTCCGAGATTTCTCTTCAGCTGACAGCCATTCCATCTGAAATTATTATTGGTCATCATCGAAATGTGAACGAATTCACAAAAATGCATATATTTTTAACGAACTTTCTTTCTTTTAAAAATAAATTTTAAAAGAAAGAATGTTCGATTTAAAAGTTTAATACTGAAATATATACCTAAAATAATTACAAAACTGTTACGTAAGTGATGTTAATTATACAAAACATCTCAAGTAGTTTTTATCAAGGGTAAATGTTTTATCGCTTACTTTAGGGAAGGCTTTAACAATAATAAATTTAAATTACGCCATCTTGTGTTAACTCTTACGCATCACGTCCTTGTTTGGGAAAACATATTTTAGTTATTTACCTTCTGCCTGTGATCGTTGACCGCATCGTCGCATATCTCAATGCACATCTGCTCCGTTAGGCGTCCATCATCCGACGCATACGCAGCAGCTTGCCAGGCCACGCCCAGTTTCGAGAGCGCACGACCTGACATGCCCGCAGTGCGCTTAGCCAGCTCAGTGCAGAGGGCGCCGTAATCGAACTGATCTACGTTAAGCCTCCTGCGAATAATATCATTTTGAATTAATAATAGTTATAATATCCCTAATAATGTTCAATAAAAAAAGTAGAAGTTTTTATTTGCATACATCTCAGTACTGTTGTGTTAACTACGAATTCTTTGAATAGGAAGACAAAGTAGAGAGTAATAATATAATAAATCATACATTAAAATTTGCTGAAACTGATTAAATTTGAAAAAGTAGTACAATATATACCTCTTGCCCTCTGAAGCTGGTTTTAGCACAAACTTGTCAAAGTACAGCCTGATCAATCGCTCTCGTTCCTCCACACCGGGCAGACCAAACTCGATCATTTTGTCCAAACGATCGTTGATAGCGGAATCGAATTGCTGCGGCGTGTTCGACGCCAGCACTAGCATGATCCTACTGCTCTGGTCTGAGGTGCGGTATAGGAATGCGTTGAGCGCCGCCCTGAGGTCTTCGCTTATGTGCTCTGATGAACGCTTCCTTAGAAACGCGTCCGCTTCGTCGATGAACAAGAGTACACCTACAAAAATAATATAATTATTTTTTTTATATAAAGGACAGAGAAGCATGGGCAATAGTAACATTCACTTTATGGTAGCCTATAACAAAATGCGATCCTTTTTGGCTTTAGAAAATTGTTTTAATTTCACGGCTTTTTATCTATGATAGACGGTGGTTGGTAACCCGGGTTACCATGTTGAACCCGGTAGTGAACAAACCCACGACCCGTCGACTATTAGCCATATATTGATAGCATTAGACCAACGAACCCGTAAAAAATATTTTAATAATTATGATATACATATGTTATACATGTATACAGACGTTGAATAGTAATAGAATATGTTGCCACTACACACATCATTATACCACTTTCTGCAAAGATGGTTACGTATAGTAGTCACGCATCAAGGGCATATCGGGCCTGAGCAACGGCGGTTTGTGATTCATTCTTTCTTTTAAAAAAATGTATACCTTTTCTACTCGTGTTAGCCCAGTCGAATACTTTGTGTATAGATGCTACGGCGTCTTTGCCCATAGGTGCGACATCACCGCCCGTCATAATTGCGTACTCCATTCCGGAATGCTTGGCCAATTTCTAAAACAGAAAAATATTAAGCTAAAGAAATTCTTTGTTAAACCTACTTCTTTTAGCAACTACAGTGTTTACGTGGAAAATATGGACACAGATTTTTAAAAATAAATTTTGTAAGCCCACAGTAACAAACGAACCTAGTGGAAACTAATTACCTTCGAAAACAATGTCTTCCCTGTTCCTGGAGGTCCATACATTAACAGATTTCTATAGAAGCCTCCATTGAGGCGTGTGTTCTTCGTCGCTATGGCGATATCTCTCAACCGCTTTTCTAGATTAGGTGCAAGGACAACTCCCGCAAGCGCGTCTGAGGGATTCCGGAAGTGAGATACGGCCCTAGAAACCGTCAGGATTGGGTGTTTTACGGCTTCCAGCACTGAAAACCTTGAAGTCTCATTCACCAACGTCGGTTTACCTGGAAAATAATACAATGGCATAATGTCGAAAAACGGTTTTTTGGTCATTAAGTTATTAAAATTGATAATACCCATTGAATTTCAGGTTTCAGAAAAATTATAAACTGATTAAAAACATGTTGGAACCGGTGGGAAGCACGTGCATAACCAGGCGATTATTAACTATACATTACCATTAGACCAATGATTCAGTCAGAAACTAGTTTAATAATTATAACTTTTATATGTTGCAGATGGATACAGACTTTGAAGTGAAAACCATCCTTAACAGTATACCTTGTCTAAGCGGTACCAGCTATTGTATAATAAATCTCGAAACAAATTTCTTATCAAAAGTGAAGGTGAATAAATCATCCCAAACAAAGATGATGTAAGATAAATAGGAACTTTGCGACATAAGAATTTTATACATTAGATTGAAATCATAATTATTGTTATACTACTTCATAAACAATGTATATTTTGCTGTCTGAATGAGTTCTATTTAGAACTTACCAATCCTGGATTCAATGAATCTAGCAGTCACCGAAGTTGCACCCCTTGCTGTGTATACACCGAGTGCCAACAAGGAAAGCCCACCAGCTGCTGCCAGTGTTTTATCCCAGTCCGTTATAAGTGCATTCACACCGGTACCAATGACACTGCCTGCAGTCCTAAGAAGTAATAATAAATTTTTAATCATTGTGTATAAATATTCTTTCATTTCATACACAATGATTGATTGGTTAACAAATGAGATTTTATTATTCAATCTGCTCTCCTTTAGAGGCTAGAATAGACACTAGAAAAGTGTATTGTTAATACTTTTGAGTAATACTGTATCGGGAACTGTTAAAAGGTCAATAAGATAATGCTACTAATCTACTCATAATAATACCACAATTCAGATTCATAGCCTCCCTCTACTTTAGTTCTGTGCACCTATCAAAAAAATTACAACAGACTTACTTTATACTCTCCAATATCGTAGTTCTGTTTTCAGCAGCTTTCAGCTTAATCTGTTCAAGTGTTATATCTCTATTCTCTCTGTCTGCCTTTGCTCTAGCTCTCGCCTCTGCCTCTATGGCCTTGAGTTTATTCTTTTCTCTTAACTCCATTTCATGCTCTATAGTTGCACGGCGAAGCGCCTCCTGTTTGGCTACACTTTCTTCTTGCCTGTATTATGATTTAAATATGTAGAGAAGCCAACACTTTTTATTGATTGGTTTTTTACTAACTTAATTCACACAGCTTTGCATATACAAATCATATATGTAATATACTTATATTATAAGTCAAATAAATACAGGTGAAGCTTGCAACTGATAAAACTAAATAGTATGTAAAAATACAGATAAACTTAATTAAAATCTTAGAATCTTTTTGAGAAAAAAAAATACTACACATAGTAGGAGAAAGTAAATATGTAACTCAATAAAATTTGATATTTGAGCAAAGATATATGCAATAAGTTTACTTTTAAATTCAGTTTCACAGTCCTGAATATATCAATATCCCTCACATTGGTATAAAGTTTACTATAAAATGATTTCCTCATATTATATGAAAAAATTTTCAAAGAAATAAGCTACCCAATAATGATTTCTTTATCTTTGTAAGAAACTTACTTTCTCAGTATCTCCTCTTGTGACCTCTGCTGTTGTGCCAACTGCTCTTCGTACCGTTTCTTTGACAGCTGATCTTGATATTGAGCCCGGACTTGGTGTTGTTTAGTTTCTTCCTATGTTAAGAATAAATACATGTACTTTATAAAGTTTAAGTCTACGCAGCTAATTTCATAAATCATACATACTTACAAAAAACATAAATTACTTATCTAAGTAATAAAATTAGCTACACACCTGCAGGGTCTTCCGTCTTTCTTCATGGTCGATTCTTTTTTGTTCCACCTTTGACTGTTCAATAGCTGCCTCATACTCTTTGATTTTAGCCAATTGCTCTTGCTGACGAGTGGACTCTTGAAGTTTGCTCAGCTCTAGTGCTTCCTTTGAGTGTTCTGTTTTGTAAAATAAGTTTCTAAAAGTAAATGTATATTTAAGGATTGTTGGTCATTCTGTCACATAAGAGTAGCATGGAGATAAAAAACAAATAAAGTAATATGGTGTTTAAGTTTGTTAGAACCTATGTCTCTTTATCTTTGGCTATACATCTTCAGTTTGAAGTAAAATAATAATCTAACAAGAATTTTATTTTTTTCTTATTTGCCCTTTGAATGTAATACTAGTGAAAAGGCATACAGTGGACACACATTGGCTCAAAAACCAATTTAATATAAGATTATCAAGATAGCTGAGCACATTTTGGACATAAGAAATGCAACATACAAGTGCCAAGGCTTAGTTTAATCATGATACATAGACGCATTCAATAGTTATCATATTTTAAATAAACCTACAACGCAAACCGAGTAACCGCACGGTGTTAAGAGGTTATAAGGTCGTATTATGCAATAACCAAAAATGTCACACAAAATAAGATAGATAATAATTACTTGACCGTTCCAGCTCGCGGGCAGCTTGTGCAGCTCGTTCTAAAGCACTCGAATCAAACCTATAGGCTTCCATGGCTTTTTTTTCAGCTTTGGTTAAATTTGGCGGTGGCTCTGCAGCATTTTCTCCCGGAGGTGGAGGTAAATCTGTTGGTGTCTGAGGTGGACGGCTGTATCCAAATAACCATGACATTTTTAACAAATGTTAGTTCTTAACCATACAAAATATTCAGCACTCAATTCATACAAGTTCGTTCTTAATCAACCCGAAGTCCAATGACCATTTATCACAATTTACTACAGAGAACAGACCACCAACTACAATCCACAGATATACTTCATAACACATAGAACAAAGAGATAACATGCTGTAGACTACGCTCAGTGACACAGAGTGTATTAACATTTACAGATAAAGATATCTTCCGATCTTATCATATTATCATTAATTATTATCTTATCGTAATAATTTTAATTTCATCTATAACATACATAGCAATAATTAAGACACTGTCAAGACATTTTGATAACTTTATTTTTTGTACGATAATTAGTTATTAACTAAATTACGATTAGTTTGAAGTCGGAAAACAGACCACCTACACCGTACAGTCTACAATCCACAGATAAACTTGATAAGTGCAGATTGTAGGTTTACACAGAGTAAGGAAGTAACATACTATAGAGTATCCTCAGTGATACAAAGTGTATTTACATTTACAGACTATATCTTCTTCATTAAAGATAATAATAATTAAAATCCTGCAACATATTCTGGTAACTTCTTCTTGTAAAATAACTAGGTGCAATAGATTAGTTGGAATTCAAATATTTATGGTACTTTATCACTAAGTTGAATATACAATGGATAAAATAAACAATATTTGAAATAGTAAACCGTAATATTGGCAAATTTATTAAAGAAAACATTTTATCCTAATAAACGACTGAAAGAAAAGTTTTATTCTAATTAACGATTTTATTAAATCGGAGTAGTTTTTCTTAAGATATGCGATTAATTTTAATATAGACTATCTATAGTAATATATAAAACTGGAGTGTGTTTTTTGTTCGTTTGTTTGAATACGCTAATCTCAGGAACAGGAGTTCAAATTAAACACATTTATCGAAGAAGACTATAGGCTGTGACACATTGCGCCCTGACAAATAGGAGTCACCTCTGCGGGTTTTTGATGCATACACTGCAATAATTATTCAAAATATTTAATGGATATGTATGCAAGAATTACTTTTCTTTAAAAATATTTTTTGTCTAAAAAAAATCTGCGACAGTAAGTACATGCTTATCTTTTAAAATTAACTTACAAGAACAACGGGACGCGACCGACGCCGTCGGTAAAAGCTATAATTTATGAAGATGAAGAGGTTTGCAACAACAAATAATTTAGCTCAAAATAACTATTTAACGCTGATGAAGTCACTGACAGAGCTAATAGAGTATACTATACTACCTAATAGGTGGTAAAAGTTGCGGCGAGGTTTTTCACGTAGTTAATTTTAAAATAAACTTTGTATGTGAAACTTTGTATATTATGTGACTTTTAAATGAGCTTGTCTATCTACAAAAATACTACTAATTTTTGTCGTTGTAGATAAGCTCATTTAAAAGTCACATAATATGTTAGCTTAAAACTAAAGAGGACAAAGTATAGGTGTAATACTTTTCATTGGCATATTTCATGATTTTATAATTTTTCTCTAGATCTTCTGTGAGGAAATTTTAGCTTAAAATAAAGTCAGGAACTGTGATAGGTAATTCAAATTTTTTCCTAACGAAATAACAGACTAGCAACAGATAATACTAACCTAACTAAAAAATAGCCCACTTTGTGCTCGTGTTCAACTCGCACTTGGCTTCGTCCACGTTTTAACAAATAAAGTAATTAAAGGCATAGATTTCCTTCATCTTATAATAACCCTAATAGTGTGAATATTTCTCCTAAACCCGTTTATCGCTGGCACAACAAACACGTATATAAATATCCAAAAAAGAAAATCACACGAAACTACGATCATTGCTAACTCAAAAGATCTGTCTAATATTAAGGAAACTGTGATAAAAGTGACAAGAATAACATCTACTACGGTAATTATGATGACATACCATTGGTACAATAAAATCAAAATTTCGTTATAAGTGATTGTAGCTATGAAAAGGATGACTTGGACAGCGAACAAAAGTATACCAATGATAGGATAAATGTGAATGATTATCTGTACAAATGTTGCGTTTAAATGCAGTTCTTTTAGGACATCTCTGCCGAATTCGTGAAATGCTATGTAGACCGCACTAGGAACCAGACCTAGTATAGATATGAGTAGAACACCGGCTTTCGGCGATAGACAGAAACAGCACTGTCTGCTCGTAGGCAACTTGTTCAGTACACTATAATATGGCCTGTAAACAATATTTTTTGTACATTATCGAACCTTGAAGTTACCGTTGGCTAAGTGTGTGTTGGCAGATGACAACTCATAGAATATACTTCCTCAAGGTGTTTTATTTAATGGTACCTTCGGGATGTCTGTTTTTTACTCTACCTAAACAACTGTTAAAAGTGCTTATTTATGTTGTGCGATAATCGTTTAAATAGATTTAGGTATATTAATCAAGTTTCTATAAGACTACTTACGTATACATATTTATTTATTATTTTCTTATCTTTATGTTGTATTTTATTAATAACTGAATTTTCTAATAATAATTCATTCACTTTAAATATAATGACTTGCAAATATAGCAATGATATTCAAATACTCAATTTAATGTCAAATTGAATTTTAGTAAAAATTGTATTTTGGTAGAGGTAATCTGTGGTTGAAAATTACGGGTTACAGGCTATATTTTGCTTAAATCGGTTAGTATTGACGGCTCCGGGTCATAATAAGTAATAAATACCTTTAAAAAATCGGTAAAATCTTAAACCAAATTAAAATAATACTTTTGAGCGAGCTACTTAGCTTTAAGAGAAATATTGTGTGGTTTTTTTTTTAACTATTGAGGGATACGCAGCTGTCATTGAATTTAATACCTTTAGATTAATCTCGTTGTTAGGTTCGAATCCCTGGAAAATATAATGAAAAGATTCATTCGGGGCGGAAATTAGCAAATGTGTGTACTTTACCTATATTTAATCTAATTTTAAGCGTATATACTTTTTGTGTGTGTTTTATTTTAGATTGAGGGTGACATGGGTAAAGATAGTTCAGTCCTATTGTTCGCATAATTTGTTTAGTGTACAGAAAAAAATGTTATTCAGTGTTAGCTTACTATCACTAACTTGGACGGCCTTAGTTCGAATCGGGGATGTAACGGAGGTAGTTTTATCGGTATCGAAGTAGGAGGCGGAGTTTTTCAATCTGCTTAAGCGGAGCCGGAACCGGAGTCGGATTTGGAGTCGGAAGCAGGGTCAGAAGTGGTGGCATAAGAGATAATTTTTATTGAAAGACAAATAAAACATTAATGAGTCATTTTTTTTTTCATTTCAATTTTCAATTGTAAAATGAGGCCGCCACGCGCGATGTTATGCTTCGACCTCCGATTAAAACCTTCGATTTAAAAGAGTCGGAACCGAAGGTAATAATAATCGGAAGTTCCGACTTAACGGAACCGGAGGCGAAGCTTCGTAACATCCCTGGTTCGAATTACCGAAGAATTGATACAGAAAGATGTCGTATAGCTTAGTATTTTTTTTTTATGATAGAATAGAGACAAGCATTAGATTCACTTGATAATGAAAATATAGTGAAATACCCCAGCCCGATGTGCTATCGACCTATTTTGGTTTTAGGTATTCGGAAATCCACAGACTGAAGCCGAAACGTGATTAAACTTTACGGCTTTTTATCTGTGGACGGTGGTTTCTGCCCCGGACGGAATTTCGGTATTCCTACCAACTATTTAATGTCCACATTTCCAGTCGAATAAATACGATACTTTTGACAGAATTGCTGAATTAGAAATGGAACTGCGCTGTACGCTTGGCTACAGTTTCGGCGATTTTATTTAACAGGCCTTTTTATACCAACGTACTCGTTTCAGCCAAGCGGCGTCTACATCTGGATCTAATATTTATGATCGTTCAAGGTTATCGTATAATTTAATAATAATAAAAAAACAATAATTACATTACATGGCAGTGTATGTTAATATACGCAATAGTATTGTTCTTATGTCAGTAACAGAGGTAGTTGAGAAAAGTAAATATTCTAAGAAGCTTTGGTTTGCTAGAAGACAGATGCTGGGCAATAGGAGCATCAGCCTGCCAAGACGGGAACTGTCCTTGTTTCCGCAGTGTCTTTGAAGATGCAATAACGCCTGTTCTTGCAGCACTTCGGTGTTCAAGGTCGTAGTACAGTCTGTAAAAAAATACAATTTCTATACAATATCACACATTTTTCTAGAAGATTGCATATTTCATAAGCAGAGAACTTACTTTGTAGTTTCAACTTATGTACAATATAAAGGCATTGCCCCAAAAATTTCCGATTCAGATTAGAATTTTTTACGTTTTCAGAGCAGTTTTATTAATAATAATAATTCTTTACAAACCCACATCTTACAAATATATCATATAAAAATGAAAATAATAATAATACGGAATTCTGACTAACTGATCCAGTTAACATTACTGTTTAATTTCGGTTGCCGTCGTAAAATGGGATTGCTTAGGTACTAGGAGAAAGATTGCACTATAAGATTCGGTGATGTGTTACCGCGACTCCAAAATGATGCAACCCTCGATCTTATGATCGCGTAAAAGTCCGATACCCTTGCCTCAGCGAACATGACGCACGCACTGCAGAACCTCGGAAGCCGCATTAAAATAAGTCCATCAGTTTTACCTCCTAACTCAAATCCCCCCTGGCCCCTCAGGAGGGATATGAAGAGTACAATAAGCACTATTCAATCGTTGTATATATTTACCTGTCCGAAAAAGTAGTGCGGACTTCAAACAGTCGTATTCCAATTTGTCGAGCCGACAACGAATTATTTTCTTCAACAGGTATGTAAGCTTCTTTATATCTTCCTTTATAAGTGGTTGTTTAGAGACAATCGTTGGCGATAATTGATCTATAGAACAGACAAAGTTTTAATTTACTGCTCACTGGAGTAAGTAAGAAGGACGAAACAAAAGGCTAAATTTAGTATACAAAAGGAAAACGTAACACGATTTTGGAGAAGTTATAAATTATATTTTGGAAGCGTGTTGGATCCTGTTTAAATCCAACCTTCAAGGACAATTAATTGCACCAGCCTGTCATATTGTAAACCTGATGTACCAACTGACCATTAAAATTTTAAATTAGGCGTTACATAACGCGTTACGCATGTACAGAAACAGTCTTACCCTCTTCAAATGCGAATGCGTACTGCGCCGCTGTTAATATGAATAGTTCCTTCCAATTGCATATTAACAGACATGTCTGCTCCCGTAGCGACATCTGTCTGAATGGCGATAAAGTGTGGAGCCATTTGATGGTCTTCACCAGTAGTTCAGCGGTCGGTGCGTACATTTGTTCAGGATTCATATCGATATTTTTGTATACGAATCGAGCGTAATCGTTAGTTTTGTCTGTACTCTCTGCTTGTCTTTCTACGGTGTCTGTACCAGTTTTCTCATCGGTAACGTCTATTTCCTTCGTTTCCGCTTGATCGCAAATATCCCGCTGGTTTTGTTTGTCTGTTGGGATAATGAGTGTTAGTGAACTAAATAGGTATTTAACGTACCATAGAAGTTTACACGAGTAGTACACATTTAAATAAAACATTTTTCACCGTATGAAACGTGAAATATATAAGTTTACTCATTCAAAATTTATTTATCGACCCGACATTGTAGATGCTCCCGCAGCCATGGTTAGTGGGGACGACGACGACTAAAGATAAAAGTGTTTAATTTAAATATTTATAACGTATTTTAAAAATAATTTAGATATAATTTAACTATTGTAAAAATATATTGACTATTCTACTAATCTAGGTAATAACATTTGCAACACAGCACCTTTTGCAGTAGCATTTAATATATCAATTCGCTATCGCATAGGAAGAAAGCTTTCAAAGCTAAGAGCCACGAGTCTGCTCCCGTAAAGTTTAACGGTATTTACTAAGTACCACCACTAAACTAACTAAGCTATCAGAACTAATAGCAAGTCGGACGAGACACGTTAGCTCATTTGGTTGCCTAATCAATTGAGCTATCGTGTCTCATAGCTATAATACAACAGCAGGAATCAGTGTGGATTCCGGTTTAAGTTCCGCCCCTGTCATGAATTTTTTCAATCCCAGTAAAATTTTAATTCACTAAAGTCGTAGGTAGTATTTTTTTTTATATGAACGATTGTTTTTATAATCAAATAGAAAATAAACATACCATATATTGAATTTTCGTCGTTCCTTCTAGCTTCTTCTGAACTGGACACTTCGTCGTCCTTTATAATTTCTGGATTCGAGTCAGAATTAACTGAGTTACTGTTACTATACGGAACGTACTTTTGGGTGTCAAGGGCTGTTTCTGTAAGATAGATATAAAAGTAATTGGTGTTTTTTATATTATTTATTCTTCAAGAACGGCTGAAGAAGAAAATTTTTGTGTAACTTGATTTAACTTTTTTAGCAGATTGAGAACGAATCTCCAATTTCCGTCAGATGGGATCCTGGTCAGAGCTTGATCTCTTAACTTTTGAAATAAACATAAACTTTGAAGGCTCCCCACAAAGGGATTATTTTTCTTAAATTTTATAAAAACTAACATCAAATTTTAATTTCACATTTCTTGTTTTGTTTATATTTACGTTTGTCAAATACTAAAGTAATATAATTGGTTTGGAAATCAATAATTTGATTTCGGAAAGTTTTACTCTTTTTTTTTGTATTCGGTTGGGTATCTGCAGTCTTTTCCTTTCCTGAGGCCTCCAAACTGTCCAAACCGTCGGTTTATACAAAATACTCACTGTGACAATCCAAGCTTAGGCCATCCGTTGCAATGACTGGCGGATAGAAAATATTTGTCGGCAAATATCCCGGGACGTGGGAAGGATAGTGGAGTGGCGAAAATATCGGCATCTTAAAAGGACTACCGGATAGAGGTGTGATAAGTGGATGGGATACATCGAAAGTGCCATCGGGAAGTCTCGCAAAGTCTCGAAATGTATTGTCCAGGAATGGCATATGGACTCGATCGGGTAGGTAGGGGAGGAAGGGGGTAGTTAGGGGTGGGAAGAGGGACTGGCGGGGGAAGTTGTTGCTAATCCTTTGCAGCTCTTGTTGATCAGCAGCGCGCGGTGCTCGCTCGTGCTGGACGGCTGGAAAATATATCTATTAAAATTTACTTTACACTCCATAACAAACAGCCTTGAAAGAAGGTAAAATAGAGATAAATTGCAATTATAATATTAATTATTTATTATATCTGCATTGCACAAACAATAAGACAAAATAGACTTACATACTAGAATGGGCAGCCTTATCGCTAACAAGCGATCTCTTCCAGGCAACCCAAAAGTGAAAAAAAAAAGGACAAAAATGGACAAAGAATTTTAAAATGATAAAGCTAACTTTTCATATTTGCATAGGTTTTAACAATACTTTGCGTATTTATATCTAGGATAATACGCGCGCATAAAAATCACGATTTCAAAATTTCTATCTAACTAATACTAGTTATACAAACACAAGTAAAGCTACATTATAAAATGTCAATTCATTAAGTTTCTGTGAACGTGGAAAGAAGCAAGAGTGAAAAGAATTTATATGAAAGGCCTTAGGCCCTTTCTAAGGTTTCTCACAAGTTTTGTTAGTCGTGCGTTAGCTTTGAGACTTTCTGTATATTGCTTTTAACGAAACCTTACATATAAATCGGTAGACGTTAAAATACAGAAAATATTATACTTCTATTTTATATTTTACACTAACGGAACAATTCAAAGTTACTTTTTAGCACTGGAAAGGACAGTTACGCCTTTCGGGCCTTTTCCCCCTTTTCCCCCTGCCCCCGTCCTCGTGCTGGTACGCCCATGCATTATTGAATATTCCTTATTTAAATTTTTGAGAATATTAAAACAGAAATGATTTCATTACATCTTCGCATATCTTTGAAACTTATGCAATGGTATTGTTGCGGTTTTTACTAACAGCTTAAAGTAAACTGAAGCTTAGTTTTCTCCTGATCGATCTAAAGTGATGTGACATAAAACTTAGAATAGTCACGCAAAACTCGAATGGGGCTAATGGTATTTTTGATAGAGAACATACAAGCATATAACACTTCTTATAATTTAACTAAGTTCTTCACGACATTTCTACGAATAAACAATCGTTGATAACGTCTAACATGTTCTGGAAAAAATGATTAATTCCTGAGAATAACGTAGAAAACAGTGGCTGTCGCACCCGTGATTCGTTGATTATTACCTCAATAGTATCTCGATCTCGATCAATAGTATCGTAAATATAAAATTCGATGCGTTATAAGCCGAAGAAGATGATCGCGATCTAAAACGGTCCATTGACAGCGAATCGTTTAGAAATTGAATATTGTCGTTCCCGCTACATGACCGAGCACTTGTCTCAATAAAGTATTTATTCAGGAGTCCGCGCGGCAGCACGTCTTTTCCATTAGACACGTATTTGCGGTGCGCAAGTGTCTTCGACGAGAGAAAAATTCGGGGGAGAACGCCCCGCGTCGACAGGCTGTGGTTCTCACGCTAGCGGAACTACGATGGGTTTATTGGTCCAATGGTGGTATTGTATCGCTGATCGTGATCAATTTAAAAAAATTCTGAAACATGTTGAACTTCCTTTAGAAATCTGGATATTAAATGATTGGTAGGAATATTGAAATTCCGTGTTACGAACTGACGTCCACAGATTAAAAACCTTCAAGTGAAATCGCTCGGCTTCAGTCTGTGGATTTTCGAAGATACAAAGCCTAAATACGTCACCAGCGCATCTACTGTAGATGTTATATAACATCATGTGATCCCTATGCTTGTCCATCCTATAAATAATATATATTTTACTCTGACATTCGTGAAATCATCAAATTGTTTACCTCGAATAAGGTATATAAGTTAACTTATTCTTATAAGGAAAATTGCAAGCGGTCACCCCATATTACTTTATACGTATGAACCAATTTACTCACCATCCTTCTTCATATTGACCCGAAGACATTTGGAGAAGCGGCATGCTTGGCATTGGTTTCTCCTATTCACGTCTACCACACATCGGCCATTTTCCTTGCAAACGTAGTCCAAATTCCTGTACAGTAAAAATATTTATTAATATTTGAAGGGCGCGTTGGTCTGATGGTAGCAATATATAGCTAACAATCAACGGGTCGTGGATTTGATTAGATTTCAGGTCTAACAAGTTTCTAAAATTAAGTTATATTTATTTTGAAATATGTTAGAGTTCGTCTGGAAAATCTGGCTATGTTTTAATATTCACGCTAAAATAGGTCAGCGACGACATTTTGATATGATGTATTGCGCGATGTATCAAGTGGTACCTATGCATAAATACTTTTAACTAACAACCTTACATAGAAACATATACTATACAGTAATATATTTTTATATGTATGAGGATGTTTGTGTTGATGTTATTTTTTACTCCAATATCAGATATGATCGACAAGTAATGGCAAAAGTTGACCAACCTTGCGGATGGGAATTTCTCTTTAAGATAAATACATGTAATTATCAATTAATTAGTAAAGTACTTTAAGTAAACCTTCGTATACTCCGTTTGAAGAAGCCCCTACAGCCATCGCAAGATGGCACACCATAGTGCTTCCCGGATGCCTTATCGCCGCAGACCCGGCACAATGACTCCGGCTTACTCTCCATAACATACTGTAACATTATAGAGAGGGTAGTCATACGTTTTTTGCATTTCGCAATGACGGGTGCACCTATTTCTTATGTCAATAACTGATATACTTATATATCAATAGAATTTGAGGAGCTCGTTTGTATAATGATAGCAATATACAGCTAATTACTCGACCTAAGTTCGATTCTTACCGGGTCATTTTTGTAATCAATGCATATTTTTGCTGAAACATGTTAGATTTCGTCTGGTAAGCGGCATATTAAATTGGTATTAGGTATAAATGAGTAGATACATCCAAGTATATAGTCGCCCAAGTCTTAAAAAACTATCCTTTTCTAAAACGAATTTGTAAGGAAAAGCGTCCTGGACAAGAGCAATAGAGGTAGTAACTTACTTCATAGGCAAAAAGACATTTTCTATGATGCATGGAGTGAGCTCGTATAGTGTTTACAGTTTATGATTTCATATAGATTATAAAATAATAAAGTGTTAATTAGTAATAGTAAATAAACTAAGGATATTAGTTAATAGTTAGTTATAAGTCATACTTTAATTGTATTCTATATTTAGTTATGTTAGTTTTTAGGGTCAGTGTCGAATTGGGCTCCCTGTCATGACATGAATTTTATTGATTAAATAAATAAATAAAGTAACGAACCTCTGCCTACAAACGAACAAGCCGTGAAATTTAATCGCGTTTTGATTTCAGTCAGTGGATTTCCGAATATCCAAGAAGCCAAAGTAGGTCGACCGCGCATCCTGCTTAGATTCGTCAGATAGACAGTCATTCTTCAGACATTAAAAATAGTACGCGGTCGGGACTTGAACCGGCATCCTCAGCGTTCCGTCCTGCCGTTCAAGACAGAATGTTAAATAAATTTTTATTATGACATCTTCACTTCAGTACATGTGAAAAATATTAAAGTTTCTAAAAGATAACTTGTAACATTCAAAAACTTCACGTTCGTTCACGACCTCCTACTAGGTGAATCGACGACCTGGTAGTAGGTCCTGGTAGCTGGAAAATGCTGGATTCAAGTAGCGAACGACTCGTTGTATTAGAAGTCTTTGGGGGAGGTCTATGTCCAACATTGGACACCGAACGGCTGAAACGATATTCTCGAAATCCTCAGTTCTATCTTTATGTTAATAATATAAAATGAAATAAAAATTAATATTTGAGGGGTGCAAAAACGAATCGTTACATTATAGTTATGTATTTTAGTAGAAAGCCCATTATCCTTCGTGCAGAGCGCGGCTCGCGCTTGGCCACTTTAAAGTTCTTTACATGGAGAGTAAAAATCATTATAAAAATGCGCATAACTCATCGAACAATGATCAAATCAATTTGTGCGACGCGCGCGAACTTTGAAAGGATATTGTCGCGTCATCAGGCAAGAGTATTAGCGATCGATTGACAAAATTCAAATAAGGTGACAGGGATATGATACTTCGATGGGGCCCAAGATGACTTTTTGATAGTAAACAACGGAGAGGCAGCTGCCGCTTTAAAGTACTTTTAAATGTTTTTAGAAAAGGATCATGCAACTTTCAATTTAGATAAATTTTGAAACAATATGTCGATTGTTTAGATGAGAATGGCTTGAAATTTAGAATCACACTATATAGTAAAAAACTACGCATTAAAATTTGGCCAGCTTATGATTTATTTATTTAGTATTAATTTATTTGTCAGCGTTAAATTAATTTAGCGTTATACTAATTAACAATTATTGCTTTATCGGTAGCAGTATATGTAATAAACGAGATATTCTCATATACATGACTTGTATGTATGATATTAATTATTGTTTTTATGTTACTGAAACTACGTAGTAGTAGGTGCATGTACTATACATTTTCCCAGTTTACACAGCGCACCAAACTAAACCTTCCAAAGCGTTCGTATTATATATATTCAGAAAATTTAATTATGTAATACTTTCATTGATTGAGACATTCAAGTGAAACACGTTTACTTTAACTTTTTCATCTTTTTAACGGAAAAATATTAGGAACAACGTATTTTAAATATTAAGGACGCTGTCCATCTTTAGTCATCGCGACCGTGGCTGTTTCAAAGCAACCGAAACATCGGTTTGAAGTTAGAAATAAATTGGTTAGAAAAAAATATATGGCATATTGAAAGCTGCTTAAAGTTTTCCTTCAGTGATCGTTGCAAAGTTATTCCCGAGATATACACGACCGAACTAAAAATCTCATACTTGCTGTATTCTATGAAATACAACCTGTACAATCTCTCAATCAGACCATATTTCATATAACTGTCAAACCGTGGTGAAACTATAATTTCACCCGCTGTGCATATACGCATAACGCAATCAAAAAACGACTTTATTCCAATGCGTCTGAAATCAATTTTGTTTATCACATATATTCTGTTAGAGGGAAATTATTGGAAACAAGTGGGCATTTTCCCACGCGGCTCGTGCCGTGGTTGACTTTACGGCATTTTGTTAAATTGCTATTGCCACTTGATGACATATTAATATGTCTTTTGTGTCTGTGGAGCTATGCGATAATGATAAGTATAGTAAAGGATAGCTAAAAATCAACGCGTAATAACAAAACAAACTCATCAGCTTTATATTGTAAAAATTATACATTTTTTATTATAGTAAAGTTATATAACATATCTTTGTGCTTATGTTAAAAAGCGTTTGAGTACCTATTAATAAGTACTTCAGAGTTATATATTTTACGATTAACAATTTATTAGATTATGTCTTCAATTTGCTATATATAACGCGGTTTAATAACCAATCAATTCAATTTTGTTCCCGATTTAAACCGTTATAAGTGATTAATATGAACGTCTTGATCGACCGAAACACTTACAATATTATAATGTGTTACTCTTCAACTAATGCTTAGGGCTGTGGATTCCGTACAAATACTTCGTGCATACTTCAGTAGTTGTGCAAACATTTTATCTCCGCAAAAGAGGTGTCAAAGCCACGTGCCGCTGTTAGTGGGGTCGGATCGTGAACAAGATTTCATAAATCAATTAGGGCCGGAATGCAAAGAGCACTTCTAACGATAAATAAACATGATGTATATAACTATCTTGAATAAACAGACAACGCTGTTTTTTTATGAAAGAGGTGGACAGACGAGCACGTGGTTCACTTTGTAGAAGATGAAATCCAGTCATATAACATCTAAACAAGATGCGCCGATGTCGACTTATTTTATCTTCGGCCTTCGAAAATCCAAAGACTTTCGTTAAAAGGATTACACAATCCTTTTAGTATTTCTTTTAACGGCTTTCCCATCAAAAGACAGTAGTTCCTTTGTTCGAATTTCGAAATTCACTTTAACCTTTTTTCTCTATGCGATGGGCGGGGCAGACTGACGGCTTTTTCTCAACCAACGACCGTCGCGCGCGCATTATCGGTCGACGCGTTACTTAAGAAATTATATACCTAAGTTAGTAATGGCTTTTTATGTAAGAAGCAAGAATCGTGTCTGTTTTTGGTTTTGCCTAAATCAACTATATTTTGCTGATTTGTCTCCCGGTTATACCTGTTGATAGTTTATGATAGTAATGTATGGATCAACGGGTCGTGGGTTCGATTCCCACCGGCTCTAAAATATTTATAACCATTATAATTTTTGAAAAAAGTCTGGATATTAAAGTTGTGGTAGGAATATCGAAATTCCGTTAGGGTCACGAACAACCGTCCATACATGAAAAAGCCAATATAGGCCGACAGCGCATATTGTTCAGATGTTATATGGCTGGGTTTCATCTTCTATCAAGTGAAAACGATGCTTGTGTATCCCCCTATATCATAAAATAAAAATACCTCAGGTAGGTATATAATCTAAAGTAGTAATCATTTTAGTATTATTTGTCAGAGATTAAGGACAAACTTGGCCCGCGACAGATAGTTAGAATAAAGGGGCAGGTCTCGCTCCCCCCCAAAACTCGAGCCATAACCGACCCATTACGGAACGTCAGGTAAATGTCAAAACAGAACATGTTTTCATAAATATGGCGTGACGCCACGCGCCACAATTACACCGTATGGCCGGAATGGCTGACCGAATCGAGGGCCAATTATCTATTAATGATAAACGATAGAAATGTCACGTTTCTAAGCATTTTATAATTTCTGAAACATTTTGGCCTTTGCTTCGACAATCTGGATATTTAATGGGTCTTAGACTATCTTCCACATATAAATAATCCGTGAAGTTTAATCGTAAACCACCATAACTACAACCAGTCCCACTGTTTTCCTACTGTTATAGCAAACGACACAAAATATTTTTAGGCAGGTTATCTATATTTGTATTACAAAGGTGAAGAGTTTGTTAACTCGTTTGTTTGAAAGCGGCAATTTCAGGAACTACTGACTCAAATTGAAAAAATATTTTTGTGTTGGTTAGAGCTTTTATCGAGGAAGGATTTCATTTAAAAAATCACGGTGCTACCTAACGAGAGCGAAGAAATTTAAATGTGGAAAAAACGGGGAAAATATTTATTTTTAGTAGGTTTGCGCTGCGTGCGCTGCGAAAAAGGTTCAAGATACAAAAAAAATTGGTGTGAAAGAATGATTCCTCAACAACTGATTTGATTTCTGAACAAATTTGATGCTGAAAAAACTATTCTCCGCGGACCGATTCGCGGCCACTGCAAGTCTAATATATAAGGCAGAGACGGATAAGCATGGGGCTAACTTGATGGAAAATGAAATACTCCAGGTTTAAAACATCCCAACTAGATGTGCTGTTGACCTATTTTCGCTTTGGGTATCCGGAATTCTGCAGACTAATGCCGAAACATTTACATCATGGCTTTTCCCGCTTTGTACGATGGTTGGCGTGACCCGGATGAAATTTGGATACACATATATCCAGGAGCCTAATATGACTTAGAAATGTTTAAGAAACACGTCGGTCTTGGTGAGGATCGCACCTAAGACCGCTTATTTACTATCCGACGGACTTGAAGTATACAGTACTTCAAGTCCGTCGGAACAGTTCT